CCCTCCCCCCCCCCTCCCTCCCTCTCTCCCTGTCTCACCACCCACTTATGGATCCGTATGTGTGTGTGCAGATCGCGCCCTCCTGGGCGACATGACAGTGTCGTCATCAATCCGTTCGGGCACCCGCAACCCCATAGTGGTCAACCCCCAGTACGAGTCGGTCGAGGCCAGGCGGCGCGTGCAGTTCTACTACGCGCTGAGTGCGTGCCCGCCCATAGAGGAGGTGTGGCACACGGTCACACACAACTACTCCGACCCCTATGTCGTGCTCAACATTTTCAGATGCTCTAGTGCGTGAAGGAGAGAGAGAGAGAGAGAGAGAGGGAGAGAGAGCGAGCTTCCACGTGTGTGTTGTCTTGTCTTGTGTGCAGCGCCGCGCGACTCGTCTGCCATAACGGTGTTGAACGTGACGGCTCATCTGGACGAGAAGCGATACAGATGCCCCGACAACGTGCCATTCTTCAAAAGGCACACATGCAATCCCCCTACACCAGACAGACACACTTGACTGACCCTTCTGTTCTGTGTGTGTGCTGTGTTCAGGTGCTGTATCCGTCTGCAGGTGGAGACCAGCCACTTTGAGATGGTGTACAGGAATGGCAGGTACGCCGTGTTGGCCGCCAAGCCGCAGCAAGACATCACCGGACCGGCTCTCACCCTCGACCAATTCAACTACACCAAAGCGGTGAGTGGGCGAGCAGAGCAGACCCCGGGACGCCACCACACCCATGTCTCTCTCTCTCTGTGTGTGTGTGTGTGTGTGTGTCAGCTGGGCGACCCGCAATCGTGGCTGCCGTGGTTCAACAACTGCCTGCGCACTGACCCCCACTGCGGCCTCAACATAGCGCAATACGCGCGGGTGTGGCTGGACCACTACTCACACACAGGGGTGAGTGAGCCGAACCACACACATGACAGACAGACACCTCCCCTCCGGCAAAGCTTTAAAGGACAGTCAATCACACGATCCTCTTTCTTGTTGCGTGTTGCCCCAGGACCCTGTGGGCGCGTCGGTTCCCGCCTTTCTGTACCACCAGGCGCTGGAAAAGTTCCCGACCGATGCTGGTAGCAAGGGGATGGGAGATGGAGGGAGGGAGAGCGGTTCCATCCCGCGCACCACACACGAGTAGCACCTCTGGCACCTCTCTGCTCTGTCCCCCCGGGCTCATTCAGATGTGGTGCACCATTACGGCGAGTATCTTGACTTCGACCTGGGCAAGCCACAGGAGGCCTACCAGTACATGAAGAAATCCTACGACTACGTACGCAGTAGACACACCCTGAAAGAGAGAGAGAGATTCTGCACCGACCGCACAGACAACTGTGTGTCAGGCTCGGGGCAACCGTCCTCGGTACATAGTCGACTACATCCTCTACCTGGACCAGGTCAGCGAGACTAACGATGACGTTGAGGTGGGACGGTTCTCATGTCTGTCTGTCTGTCTGTCTGTGTGTCCGTCTTTGCCAGACGAGAGGCCGCGTGCAGGAGCTCCCGATGATCATCATACTACTAGAAGAGTCCGTCAGCCAACCACCAGCACACACACACACACATACCCACACGGCGTGTGTGTGTGGGTGTGTGTTGTGTGTTTGGATGCCACCGACTCAGTTTCGACCGGCGCTACGAGAGTGTTGACGACCCCGACGTGGAGCAGATGGTCAAGGCTGCCAGCATGGCCATGGCAATCGCACGCGACAAACACCTCACCAAACTCACCGACGCCAAGTGCGCCAGCCACACCACACACACAACACACACTTGGCCGTCTGGATGGATGTGTGTGGGGGCATTGATTGCAATCAGGCGGGAGGCGCTGAGACGGCTGGCGTGGCGCATGTGGGAAAAGGCCAAGGTGAGCAGGGGTGGGTCATTGTGCGTACGGTCCCTCTCTCTCTCTCTCTCTGTGTGTGTGTGTGTCACTGTGTCAGTATCTGAATGTGCACGACGACGAGGTGGAGCGGCAGTGGGTGGCCTTTGAGGGCCGGCCCAAGACCAAGCTGCAGATACTCTACCAATTCATGTTCAACAGATAGACAGACATCCAGACATGTAGGACGATAGGATGATGGGTGCGAGCGCATAGAGCCATTGTGCGAGTTAGTCATGGCGCGGCGCGCCCGAGGCCGGCCTGGCATTTGTTGGTTGTGTTAGTTGGCTGTGGATACTACTAAGATGTGTGTGTGTGTGTCTGTTGTGTGTCGATATGGTGACGGATGACAGTGAGTGCGTTCATTCAGCTGCATCACTCACATACAATTGGTGTCGGTGTCTTCAATGGCACAACACAAACGCACCAACAAATGTCCCCGAACACACGAACGAAGGCACCACCACCACAAACACACACACACATGCGCTCTCACCTCGCTCGCCTAAACCCTACTTGGCGAATAGGGTTGTTCTGTTTGTCCAGCGATCCGTCTGTCTGTCTGTCTGTGGAGTGTGTTGTGTGTCTAAAGGAGAAAACTGGTTGTGTGTGGGTGCGAACACTCCAACACACTCACTACATACTGCTGTGTGTGGGTCGAACACTATGCTACATATACCCTTACTCACTGCGTGTGAGGGTCCGATCGGATCGACGCTCAAGCCACCCGGCACGCGAAAACACAATTGACACAAATGGGCGGGCCGGGCCATGTGATGTCTGTGTGTGCTTGTGTTGTGTGTGCCGTGTTAGCCGGTCATGAGGCCATCATGGTCTTGGCACGCTGCAGTCGTCTCCTTCTGAAGTTCTTGCAGGCCAGCATGAAGGCCTCGTACACCCTGCACACAGACACACACATATATGTCGTGTGTGGACGGCCTCTTGCCATAGTCGCGTGTGTCTATGTGCGTGTGTCACCCACCGACTGTTGCCGGGGTACTCGTCAAGCATTCTGACCAAGCCACATACAAGGGTCGATCAACGACGGCCGGCCGGCGTGTGCAACCGATTGTGTGTGTCAAAAGGTGGCGCACCGTTCGGGGTGGAACTGCAGACCGACGAGGAACCGACCCTCCTCCTGAGACGCACAACACACAAAAATGTCACACACACAGACAGACACACACACACACGCACAGAGAGAGAGGACGGGGAGAGAGGTTCGTGTGTGGCAAGCCACCCACCGGGCAGTATCTTTGCGGGTCGTAGAATGCCTCGACGAGCAGGTCGTCGCTGTGGGCCATCGGGCGGAAGTTGGGCGCCAGCTTGCGGATACCCTGGTGGTGGTAGCTGATTCAACCATCCGTCCGTCGACACCACACACGCGCACAGCCAGGAAGAGAGAGAGATGAGGCAGGCTTGTAGAAGACAGACCAACAGGTGGACACACCACACCCACCTGTTGACGCGCAGCACTGGTTGTTGTGAGTCCTGGATAGTGTCGCTGTACCACTCGGCCAGGGGAGTGTTGGACAGCACCCGGATGGGGTGCCGATAGCCGTCGTAGTTGTCTACAGGTGTGTAGGTGTGTGTGTGAGTGTGTCTGCGTGTGTGTCTCTTATGCGCACCATAGTCGATGTGTGGCACGGCGTTCGGCACCTCACTGACGACATCGAAGAAGAGTTTGCCGCCGAGCTGGACGTTGAGCAGCTGGCAGCCCCTGCAGATGCCCAGGTAGGGCACACCCAGCTGAACCGCACGACGCAGCAGCTCCCACTCCAGCTTGTCCTGCACACACACACACGCACACATACACACACACAGAGAGAGAGAGAGAGATATGCAAACAGGTACCGTCACTCCCTCCGGTCAGTCAGGTGACGTACCTTGTATGGATCATAATCCTGAATTGCGCGGCGGGTGCACAGCAGAAAAGGAGAGAGATCAACACACGTGCAAGTCGAGGAACGTGGCTGATGATCCCATCCTCTCCCTCCTTCTCTCACCATATCGCTGGCGTGTTTCTGCACACATAACAACAGAACACAGATCACACGATGGATGCATCTCTGCGGGTGTGCGCCACTGCCTCTTTGTGTCTTGTTCCCCTCCGGCGTACCTTCCTGATCTCCTCCACGAGCTGGTTGTCGACGTGCGGTATGTGTTGGGGTTGTGTGTGTTTGTGGTGGTCACCCCCACCACCGCCGCCGCCGCCGCCCTCGGCGGCCGTGGGAGTGGGTGCAGTGCTGTCGTCGGCTGCTGCATGGGACGATATGGACGTCTGGCGCTCGTAGGGGTTGTAGTCTGTGACACACAGACACACCAGGCAAAGACACCACACAAAAATCATACCAACGAACACTTGTAATTGATTTGCCGCGCGTGTTGTCTTTGCTTTGCCTGGTGAGATGTCGTTGCCCTCGACAACTAGGAAGCCGTCCTGCACACGGACAGGGGGTGTGTGGCCACATATATGAGAGTGCGTCTCAAGGCTCCTTCCACACCGACCATGGGCATGTAGGTGTCGAGGCATGAGACCGTCCCCGAGGTCCTGCAGACAGAGAGGGAGAGAGACAGCATGACACACGTCATTCACAGGTGATCTGATCTGGGTGGGAGTCTTCTTGCCTCGGTACGATAACCGCAGCACCTGACCAGAACAGCAGCAAACAGATGGATATGCACAGCACAGGCAGGCAGTCGGACCCCTCCCTGTGTGTCTTGTACCTCCGAAGTGGTTGATGAGGTCGATGTGGAACTCGCCAACAAAGTCAACGAACTTCCCCTGTGTCACACACGCAGCCAACACAGACCTCATCTGCTGCATGTGACGTCTGTGGCGCTTCCCTCCTGCCCGTGTGTATACCTTTCTCAGGTGCCTCCGGCTGACCACAAGGATCCTCGGAGGGCCTTCTGGCGACGGATTGAACTCCTAAACACACACATGCCCATACATCCTCTCGCCACACACGGCTCTTTTCCTGCGCCTCACCTCTCCGCTGAAAGCTGCGAGCATGGCATCCCCGCCGAGCGACAGGTGCGGGTCAGACGACGACCGCGGAGGCAGACTTCGGCCGTTCCATCCCCCACCCATCCCAGCTCCCAAGCCGCCGCCCGCATCCTCACCCCACCCCCCACCCTCACGCCCCTCCACCGCGCCCGGCGCGCTCATGTCGAGAAAAGTGTCGTTGGCGTCCCCAATGCCACCGGGCAGCATCGACGGGCAGTATGGCGAGAGCTCGCCGTCGGAGAGGGTGCCGGACGGGTAGTTTGGCGGTCCGCGTGAGGGCACGGTGAGGGTGAGGGGTCCCGACTCGGGCCGGTCGGTGACTGACCTGGTTGGCTGCTGTGGTGGTGGGAGGCCGGTGAGCTCTCTGGATTTGGTCTCGAGGTCAAAGATGAAGGCGTCGGTCATGGGCTCGGTCGTCCGGCGCTCCACTATGAAGCTGTCGCGGAACTGGCCATTCTTGCTCTGACAGACACAGATGCGGGCAGGGCACACCACAGACAGGCAGATAGCTGGATGGATGAACGGGCTCTGTGCCTGTGTGTGTGCGTCTGTGAGTGCTCTGTTTGTCTTGCCTGTATCTTAGCGTCGATGATGTTGAGCTCATTCTTGGTGAAGAAGCTGATGACCTTCTCCAGGAACCCTGGCTTGTCAGGCCCTGATCACGGGCGCATACACCGCACACACAGCACACACAAACAAACGCACATCATCAGATCCGCTGCCGCACTCACTCGCCTTTCACTCATCTCGTTGGCTCTTTTGCCCGCTCACCTTCCAGGTTGACGGACAGCTTCGTCGGTGAGCTCCTGCGGAGACTCAGCTGCACACCCGTGGGCTCACTCATCCTCAACACAGCAGGCCGGCAGCGGAGATCTGCCGTCAATTACGGCCGGATGAAGCAATGGCGGCAACGACGGCAGGATACGCACGCGTACGCTACCAAACGAACGTCCGGCGATCGGGATTCAGGCTCGCAATTATGAAGAGGTTGGCGGAGGGAAAAACGGCAGCCTAACAGTAGCGCCCAGAGGTCCTGTGTACCACTTCCGAGGGTGAGAGGTGAAAGAAGCACAAAAAGAACCATCGAGAAGCGCCATATATATATCTGTGCTGCTGGGTTGTTGCGCTGCTCGTTGTAGGTATCCTGCTGGTATCCTGCCATCCATCTGGCGTCGGCCTCCCATGTGGCAGCGCGTGTTGTCGGCCAGCCTCCTTAACGGCATGAATGAGGGCTGATCCACGCCAAGGGGTCTGAGTCATGACCAGCTTGGGTCCTCCCCCGCCCTCCGTCGTCGACGCGGCCATCCGTCTGCTCTCGTCGCCAGAGGAGCTGCAAGAGGATCTCGTCGAGGGCAGCCTTAAGACGCTGGGCAACTCGAGGCTGGACCAGGGGGGGTGCGAGGCCCTGCGGAAGAATCTCCGCAATGGGCGATCCCTGGAGCGTGTGTTTGATGCCTTCACCGATAGCGTCGACACGGCCCGCCAGGACGACGCGGCAAATGTGCTGGTGTGCGCCGTGCTGAACCATAGGGCAGAGGTGGTGCGTGAGGTTACACACCACACTATCCCGCTGTGTGGGTCGCCTCAACGGTTCATCAGCAGGCTGGCCACACTGCTGACAGACACCGACAATGACACCGTTGCGGCCGTCGCATTCGCGCTGCTGGTGGGCGCCATGATTAAGGGCCGGATTGAGGGCAATGCGGCCGACTATCGAGACCACTGTGTACAGCACCACCCCGCCATCTTCGGCAAGGCAGTGGCGCTTTTGGACAAGATCCCCGGTGGTGGGTGCAGCAAGTCGCCCATCATCACCTTCCTGCTGTCGGCCTTTTCGAGGGAACGTGCATTCGGCCCGCCCTTCCCCGGGCCTTCTGCCGTGCCTCCCCTGGTGTGGGTGGGCATGTTCCGGGTAATCGTGCGCGTCCTGACGTGTGAGGACCAGGCAACTCGGGACGCGCTGTAAGCGACTATATAGATGGATGACACACACACAGACAGACAGTTCATTTATGGCTGCTTCGCCTCAGTGCTGCCTGTATCGAGCACGCCACCGCATTCGTCCGCCACCACATCCACCGCGTGACCGGCACAGGTACATGTAGTAAAGTCAGACATACAGACAACAAACTCACACCACTTTTCCTTCCGCCACCTGACTCACTGTCGCCCGTCGGCTGGCGCAGGGTCGGGTTCAGACGCGGATCGTGCTGTGTACCTGGCTGCCATCCGTGAGGACATCTACCCCCTCGTCGACACGTTGGCGGCCACCCTGACATCCTCCGCCGCAGACAAGGGGATGCGTGGGGGGGCCGCCGTCTGCCTCGAGTGCATCTTCGGCTTCTGCTGCGATTTCAAGAGTGCCACGGAGATTGGTGGGCGGAGGGACAGACAGACAGACAGACAGGCCCGCTCCGTGTGGGAGTGTGGCCTGCCTCAGTTGCTGAATGCGTGTGTCCGTCCTTGTGTGCGTCTGTGCAGATGTCGAGTACTTCCGTGATGCCGACGGGCCCGTCCAGCGTTTGATGAGAGCGCCCAATGCGCTGCAGGCGTACGTCGCGGCCGTCAAGAGCCCCGCCAATACCCTTGCCTCTACGATTAGGACTGGCACGCTCCCCCTGGCTGTTTTGGAGATGGTGGCCGGTCAGGGAGGGAATCAAACGAGGGAGGGAGCCATGGGAGGGAGGGAAGTGAATGAACCAATGCCTCCCTCCCTGTGGGTGTGCTGCATAAATGTCTGTCTGCAGTGTGTGGACATCGTGATGCCGTGTACTCTTCTGGATGCATCTCGATGGCGTCGGATATCGTCAAGCGCCTCGACAAGCAGTCAGTGGAAGAGGTGGCCTACTGTGCGGCCGCTCTTCAGAAGATCGTCGGAAGCGACACAGACCTCACTGACATGGGCGCCAAGGTCAGCACGGATGGATAAAAAAGTGGATGGGTGGATGGATGCGTCCATGGTCATTCTGCGGTGCGGTGGTCATGTACAGATCGCTGTACGTGCCGGCCTTCCCGTAGCCCTGTGTGACGTGGCCATGGCCTGCATCAAGAACGGCCAGCTCGACTTCGCCGTCTTCATAGACTTCGCCGTCGAAACCCTGCGCGCACTTGTCAGGTACACAGACACACACACGCCTGTGGTGGGGGATAGATGATGCGTGTGGATGTCTTCTCGGTGCAGCTATGGCGACCGAGTGAGCAGCAAGAGAGGCGGCGTCCTCCGGTCCAATGGCGTCACCCAGGCCGTCCTGCAGCACGACTCGGTCAAGACGATGCGCGCAGCCGAGCGGCAGCCGAAAGGGCGACGAAAGGCAAACCGTCAGCATCAGGAGCAGCTAACAGTGCCCAAGAAGGTGGAACATTCATGATGCCCACGTGACGGCTCACACGGGCAGTGTCCATCCATTGTACGTGTTGTGTGTCAGTTGTTGTACTTGTTTGACGAGATCGAGAGTGCGGCCAACGAGCGGGCCGAGAAGATCATCGCAGAGCTTGACATTGAGGGCACACAGGAGGGGGCCGAGGACACCAACGACAGCAAGGGCGTCAAGAAGAGGTCCAAGGGCAAGAGGGGCGGCAAGGGAGCCTCTACCAAGGAGTCGGCATCACCATCCAGGTGACCGCCAGATAGGGAAAGAGCGCATCCACAAAAGTGAAGGGAATGCGTGTGTGTCTGTGTGTGCCGATCGACAGCTGTGGTGCCATTGGCACATCCGAAGACCACAGCGAGCAGCCCGATGAGGACGCAGAAGACCACCATGGCCTTCCAGGTCCCCCCAGCCCGTCGCCCCCCTCCCCTCCCCGACCCTCATGCTCATTCTCATCGTCTGCATCGGTGCCGTCGGCTGTGTCTGGTGGAAGCTCTGCTTCGGTGGGGGGCGGCAGTGGGCAGCAGCAAGGAACGGGTGGTGGTGGCGATGGTGGCGGCGGGTTCATCACGGTCGGCCGCAAGAAGAAGGGCGGCAAAGGCGGCAATGCACTGCAGCAGCAGCAGCAGCAGCAGACCAACACAGCTGACGAAGCAAACAACAAGTAAGGCCGACTAAAGCACTCCACCACAGTCACTGAGCAGGGACAACTCCGGTGTGCTTGTGTGTTCAGCTCGAGAGTCTTCCCGTCTTCGTCTTCTTCCGAGTCGACGCGGCCATCCTCATCGCACTCGTCTGTGTCTGGCGGGCCCCACCATGCGCCGCCTTTCTTCCCTCTGGCTCCCCGCCCGGCCGTCCCGCCCTCCCGGTCTCCCAACCGACACACACCCACACCAGCACCATCCAGTAGCCGTGGTGGCTCTGACGAGCATGGCCTCGCCCCATTGGCAGCCGGGGACAGTAGCAGTAGCACGTTGGAGAGGGCGGTGGAGGTGGAGGGCCGCAGTGGTCAAGGCAGGTACGTATCGATGGACAGACAGACAGACAACGGTCACTGTGCCTACCCCTCCCTCCATGTGTGGCTGCGTGAGAGCAGGTGTGGTGGGGAGGTTAGTGAGTTGGATGCGCTGCGCCAGCAGCTCGAGGCCATGCGGCTGGAGAAGGAGGCCATAGAAAGGGAGAAGAAGAGGTACGTGAGGAGACCCCACACACCTGCAGTGCAGTGGTTGCATACCCCTCTTTCATGAGCGTCTGATGGGTGGGTGGTTTGCTGTCTGCAGGCTGGAGGAGGAGCGCGAGAGCACTGAGTGTGACATCTGCATGGCCGAAAAGAAGTCCATCGTACTCATTCCCTGCGTAAGCCAACTCACAGGCACCACGCGCTGCCCACATGTATGTGTGTTTGAGTGTGTGCAGCGTCACTTCTGTTTGTGCGGTGCGTGTGCGACGGCCTTGATGTCCAAACCAGTGGCCGAGCGGCTGTGTCCGCGGTGCCGACAGGCCATCACGGCCACACGACACGTCTATCTGTGAGTGCGGGGCGGGGCCATGTTGCTAACGAGCTACTTGTTTGTCTGGTGCTACGACGCACGAGAGTCACATGCTGGCGGCTGGATGAGTGACACGCCGATAGACGAGCCATTCATGTTGGGGGGCGGGTGTGGTGTGGTGGGTGGGTGGGTGGCAGCTGTGTGTGCATAGCATAGATGTGACTGACTGGCGGACTGACTGACTGACAGAGTGAGAGAGGCGTGGATAGATGTGTACAGACTTACTTTCCCTGGCTGCAACACCGCTGACTGATGGATGACCCATGTTTGTGTGTATGTGGATCACATCACCCACACACGCTGACTGACTGGGCGGGCAAAACTGCCGCTCTCGTTTATCGCATCAGAGCGTCACAGCTGCAGCTGTTTCCTCCAGTCGCCGGCCATCCTGATGAGTAACTAGCTGCACACAGCTGACCGAAGGGGGCTGATGGATGTTGGAAAAGATTGAGCACGTCTCACAGACACTCTACAAACAAAGCCAGATGTGTTGACTGCATGCATTCATCCGACTTGATACGACTTCATTCAATGAATGAGTTTCATCCTTTTGCTGACAGTAAGTCGCGTTGTCTCTACCAAGGCACTATCTGCCAGCAGCACAGAGCCAGAAAGGCCTCACACGCAAATCAGAAAACGGTCCCACGGCCACCGCGTGCTCCCTCACGGAAACACACACGACTGCCTGTCGGCTTCTGAAATGAGGCAGCAGCATACATGCACATGTGCGAAGCTCTGACACCTGAGCACGAACGCACCCACGGGGACGGCGCCACACAAGAAGAGCCTCACGTCACAGCCTACAGGCTCTCAGCGATCCCATCACCGACCCCCCCTCATACAGCTATCCCTTGAGGTATCTCTCCACCAGGCCGCCCGCCCTGTCGTTGATCATCTTGGCCTTGCTCACAGCGTCGCCCTCGCTGAGCCTCCCACTCTTGACCTCATGCAGCACCGCCACTGCCGCCGAACGGATGTTGGCGGCACAGTGGATGAAGATCGGCTTGGGCGCGGCCTCCACGGTCGCCAGGATGCCGTCCACTTTGGCCCTTGACCAGTCAAATGGCGTCACTGCTGAGTGGAAGTAGCCGCAGTTCTCGCCTTCACACAGCTCGCTGTCGTCCCTGTAGCCGGGCTCGATGGCGGCCCTCACGTTGAGCACGCTCTTGACGCCATTGGCAAGCAACTGCAGGCAACACCGACGAACACACACACACACACACACATAGACAGACACATGGCCGTAGGTGTCACACTCTGGACTGATTGCTTCAGAAGGCACACACCTTCTTGACGCTCTCGGGTGACAGCTGGGCGCCCGAGAGCACCTCATCGCTGAGCTGGCTGACGTTGTCAGTGGGCTGCAGCCCGTCCAGAAGGCCGAAGAGGGATGTGCAAGGGCGACGGAGGGGGTGAGGGAATGATGCAGAGCGGCTGCTGAAGGACAGCGGAGGAGGGACGAATGCGGGCTGGAGGGCCTGATGCCGTAGACGGGAGGCTGACGCGCTGCTGACAGCGAGGGAGAGCGGCAAAAGAAGCATGATCATTGTATGCCTCCCGTGGAGCCTTGCACGACTGATCTTGGACAGATCTTCAACAGATCCCGCTGCGAGTGGGCTTCTGCCTGAAGGAAAGGACACAGGAAACGTTGAATGAAAGGAGCCTTGGGTAGGGTTTGTTGTGGCGAGGTTGACCATGGCCATTCGGGCCGAATTTTTTGAGCTTGCAGATAATGAACGAATGTACACGTTTATGAGCATAGAGGACCTGGCGACCGCCTCAGGCTCGACAACTGTTGGCCCTGATGGTGAGGCGACCCCTGGCGAACGACGGCTGCGTGAGAATTCGAGATTCGAGGCGCTGCAGGTGAAGTGGCAAGGAAGAGAGCGACTCAGCACGCACAGTGATATGCCGTGATGTGTGTGTGTGTGCAGATGGAGGCGGCTCTTCGCCAGGAGGTGGATGGCATGAAGGCCCTTCTCCAACAGCAGGCACAGGTACGCGGAAGGGAGGCACAGCGCCATGACAGGATGCCATGTGGTTCTTGTCGGTCATGCGCAGGAGCTGGCGGCGTTGCGTGGTGCGAAGCGGGCGCTCGAGCAACAGCTGCAGGTACCTAGTGGTGCTGCTGATGTGTGCCTGTGTCCGTGTGTGTGCTGTGGATGGATGGATGGATGTCGTAGAGTGACATATCGGCGGTGTGTGAGAAGCTCGAGGCGCTGCAGCTGGCCTTCGACCAGCACAAGGAGGACCTTCAGCAGGTAGGTGCCTGGACAGCTGACGGACGTGAAGTCGCCTCCATCCATCTGCGTGTCGTGTAATGTGCACTGTGCAGATGCACGCGACTTCTCGTGAGGCGGCGCAAGAGATCAAGTCGCTGCAGGGTGCACTGGGGACTACCATAAGGGAAATGAGAGGAATGGTTGCGCAAGTGCAGGTAGGTATCTCTTGTCAGTCATCAGACAGGAAAGGGGCCACGCGAGCCGCTGCACGTTTGCACAGACAGTGTGTGCCATGTGTGAATGTCAGGGGCTGCGTGCGCATGTGGTTGACGACGTGACGACGGCTGTGCAAGTCGACCTCCATGACGACAAGAGGGGGCTGAGGCAGATGGCCGCTTCGCTCGACGCCATCATGGACAACCTCACATCGGTCCGTCAGACAACCAGACACCCGGCCATTCATCCGTGGCATGCCTGTCTGCCTGCCTGCCTGTCTCTTCTTGCAGGATCAGAGTGTGAAGCTGGTGGCGGCCGCTCGTCACATTTGCACACCCGGCCAGCAGGTAGGGACTTCACCTGAAGGACAGCCAGCTCGTGACCATCTGCCGACACATGTTTCGCTGATGTGTGCAGTTTGTGCGCCTGTCGTCGCACTATGGTAGCTACCGTGCGCTGCGCCACTGGCTGAGCCGCTACATGCGCATCAAATCGATGCAGCTACTCTACAAGTACTGACGCTCCCCCCCCCACACACACACAACACACACACTCACATCAGATGGCTTCCATTCCTTCAGGTCGTCACGTGATGGATTCAAGTACTCGACATTCCTGAGCAAGACTCTCGGCGCCCAGCGGCTGCTGTTTCTCATCCGCGATGGACCCGCACACCTCTTCGCGTGCACCATGGACCACCCCCTTGCACAGCCCGACAGCCCCACCCAGGCCAAGGAGACCCCCTGCCCCGTTTCCTTCTACAGCATCAGCGGGGCGTGTGGCGGACCCACCAAGATACCCATGCCGGCAGAGCTGTCACAGGGGGTGGCGGTCGCTGGGCGGGAGGGGGCGGTGAGGGGGCCTGATGGGCAGCCGGTCGCCGACATGGCCATCGGTGTGGATGATGCAGCAGTTATGGTGTTAGGCCGTGATGAGTCCGGCCCGGCTGCCGACCTCAGCGGCTGTGCCATGATGGTCAAGAAGGCCTATTTGCCAATCGGGTATCGTGGGGAGGTGGATGAGGATGGTGACGGCACACTGGCGGGCAGCATGACCTTCGCCATCACTGAGATGGAAGTGTGGCTTCTAGCGAGCTGACTGAGGGGAAGCAAGGACACAGACAGCCGAGGGGAGGGGCACACAATGCCTGCCTGCTCGCCTCCCTGTCTGCCTGCCTGAAAGCTCTGCGTGGATCTTGTCTGTGGGAGGTAAGTTTGGACGGCATCCTTCCATCCATCCACGATATCGACTGTGCGTGAATGTCAAAGCGCGATGTGACGCACGCGTGTCGACACATGTGGAGAGACGAGGGTGTGATTCATCCAATCAACCACATGCAATTGCATACGTGCCAGTCAGTGTCAAAGCACCACATTATTGGCTTATGAAACACTCCCACGAATATGCATGCATGGGATGCATCCATCCATCCACCCACGCGCCAACATAGAGAGGAAGGAAACGTCTCACTAAGTCGTCGTTCATTAGACAGCTGATGTACATATAGCGACGCAGCCAGTCACGCAGCGCGCGATACCTGCCACACAGCGACGACACACACACGAACTGCGCACACAAACACATACGCCGTAAAGACAAGGATTTCCGGCCGTCAGTCTATCTGTTCCTTACCTGCTGGCCGGGTGTACAGATGTGGTGAGAGGCCGTCATGAGCTCCACACCCGCATGCTGCATGCAAGAGGCAGGAATGGCACAGCACACGTCAATGAGTGCCTGAACACATGAGGTTTGTGTTCAGCTTCATCTTACCGATGGCAAGCTGTCAATTTTGGCGCTGAACGAGTCTATTTTCTGGTTCATCTGCTAATTCATGTCCTTGATCTCGTCGCTGAACTCTGTGCGCACGTCAATTGACACCTCCTCAACCAAAAACTCGCGCTGCTCCTGACACACAACGCAACCACACGCATACACCTTTTGGCCTTCAATCGGCTGGCCCCTTTCTCACCTCCACTTGTTGTGCGAGTGCCTGGCGGGCAGCGACCTCACGCTCCAGCCGAGAACGGAGGCGAGCCTCTCTCTCTGCAAACTCCTGCGCCATCTTGTCGTGGCGCTCCCTCATGCTACGCATCTCCTGCGTGGCCGCACAGAGATCAGACACGGCGCCCAGATTGTTGTTGTGGTGTCTGATCTGCGCACCTCCTGTTGCTGCTCGAGCAGCGCCCTCATGCTATTCATCTCCTTGCAATAGGTAACCGCCATCTTGTCGTAGCGCTCCTTCATGCTGCGCACCTCCTGAACATACAAAGAGAATGCGTCAAATTGAGTCCATGTGCTCATCCGTCAGCTGGATCTCGTACCCCTTGACTTTGCTGTTTGTGCTGCTCGAATGCCAGCTGCAGCGCTTCCAGCCCCGACCGCCCACCGGCCACCGGGTCAGGAGGTGCTGGCGGCCGGTAGGTGCAGAGGCGCCGCGCCTCATCGGGGTCAGCCGCAACCTCCTCAGGCATATCCGCCGAATCACTGTCAGGCTCAGCGGCAGATAAGTGGGACCAGAGGTCCAACGTAAATGTGTAAATCTGTGTCGCAAGAGGATGAGCCTCCCTGTCTGCCTGCCTGGATGCTCTGCCGGTATGTTGTTCGCGTGGATATTGTGTGTGGCAGGTTAGTTTCGACGGCATCGATTGTGCGTGAATGTCAAAGCGCGATGTGACGCACGCGTGTCGACACATGTGGAGAGACGAGGGTGTGATTCATTCAATCAACCACATGCAATTACACACATACATGACAGTGTCAGTGTCAAAGCATCACATACATTATATACTGGTTTATAAAACACTCACACGAATATGCAGCCATCCACCCACCCACCCACGGCCAACAGAGAGAGAAAGGAAGGAAAGGAAAGGCCTCACTAAGTCGTCGTTCATTAGACAGATGGCCACATTCGACTGGGCCATCCACACACACTCACACACCTCTCTCAGACAAACAGGCCCGTCACTCACCAGGCGCTTGCTTAATACGGCCGCACGTCCATCCATCCATCCATCCACATCGCGCCGCACACGCCCTCACACTAATGGATGTGTATGCAGATAGACAGAGAGGGAGGGAGACGGCACTCACTAAAGCACGGCACGGCAGGTCGTCCGCTCCGCTTCCCCCTCTCTCACACGCCACGCCCAAATGACAAATAAAACCAACCACTCACGCAGGTAAGAAAACACACACACCCACTCACGCAGCGATCGGTCTCTCTCGGGAATTACAAAACGGCCGGACACATCGTCTGGCTTGTTTGCGATTACTTGCGGCTGGCTATAGAAAACGGTGAGTCAGTCAATCTAGTCATTTGTGTGTGAATGAGGGGGCACGCATGAAGCGAGTGGGTGAGTGGGTTGGATGGCTCATGGGCAGGCTCATCTTGGCGTGAGACCGACCGTCGGGCTGTGTCGGGCCGTGGGCACGCGAGAGGAGACCTTGGAGGTGCCGGGGGTGCCGAACAGATACCCAAAGGGCTTGGGCTGACGCGCCTGCACACAACACAACACACACCACCAACCACACCATCCATACACACACGACTGCCTCCCTCCGTCCCTCTCTGTCCCGTCTTGCAGGCTGACCTCTTGAATGAGCAGCTCCATGCAGACGAGGAATCGATCGGCCTGTTTGGTGTCCCGGAAGACGAAGGCGAGTTTCCTCTTGAGGAACTCGACAATGACGATGAAGTCCTGCGGCCGGGAGCCGTCCATCAGGTCGTGCCGCCGCTCGCTCAGCGTCCGGTGCGTCAGCTCGTGGGTCCGCCCGTCGCGACGCCAGATCTGGTACACGCGTGTGGCGCTCTTGAGGGGAAACTCAATCAGCCGACCGGTGTTCTGGTCAAGCGTCAGTGTCGTGAGGTCGTCCTTCAGCTGGCAGTGGATCTCAGAGTAGTCCCGGGCGCTGGTCAGCTGGGTGACGTACACCCCTCTGTAGAGCTCGACGATGAAGTCGCGGTACATTTCGATGAGCAGGTACCGCTGCTCGCTGTCCGAGAGGTTGTTGGTGGGAAAGCCGACGGGCGGGAGGGGATAGGGGAGGTCCGATGGCGGCAGCTGAATTTGGGTGCGCAGCTCCGCCTGTCGGGGGGTGGCGTGCTTGACGTGGCCCGCCTTCTCGCTTGCCGTGCCAGCGCCGAACCGTGAGTCGGCCTGCATGGAGTTGAGGAGGCCGTGCAGGTAGTTCTGCGAAGGGTTGCGGTGGACCTCATTGCCGATGAGCTCCATGGCGATTTTCTCCTCGACGCTCTTGCGGATGCGGACCTCCTCATCGGTCGACTCCTTGTTCTGTTGGCACAGGTTGCAGCACCAAATGCTGCCCATCGCTCGTTGTTGAAGGAGGAAGGGGGAAATAAGGGGGGAGTGCGGCTGGACGAGGGGGAAACGCGAAAAGACGTTGGTAGTGGGCAGAAGGGCGTGCTGAATGGCGCGCCTTTCACACGGGCAGTCCTCAAAACCACTGGGAGGCTTTAGGGTTCGGTTTATAGGGTTCGATTCCATTGCGAGCTAAAGGGTCTGCAAGCTGAGCTCGCATTCTCCTGGAGTTTTGTGTGCCATTCAGTCAGGTCGGTGGAGCTGTGCTGTCGCACTCCAGACTTGTGGCATAACCCACGAGACCTGCGCTGGAGGGACTTCTTTGGTGAGCTAGCATCCGTCGCTCTCAGCCGCCCCTCGCATCGGGCGAGAACAGCTGCATAACAGCACCGGCCTGGGTCGTCATCGGTTTGTTCTGCGGCTGTGGAAGAGAAGCAGATGAGAAGGCAGAGATGTCGTCATGGATGCGCTATATCTATCAGCGCCTGCGGCCCGGTATCCCTCTATTCATCACGCGGCCACGCACCGCCATCGCCACACTGCCAGCAGGCGGCACCGTCATCGTTTCTCTCGCCAACTTCGGCTTCCTGTGGCCCTTCGACTCGTCAGGACAGCAGCACAAGCGAAACGTGCCAACACTGGAGCCCAGAAACCGCGATGCGACTGTCCCGAAGGCAGTACAGAAGAGAGAGGACGTTGTGTGGCTGGCGGGGACCCGATTCGGCGTGCAGGTGACCGACCCGGCGCACAAGGCGAAAGTGCTGCTGCTGTTGGCCAAGAGCGGCAACTGGGAGAGGTGGGAGGGCTTCTTGCAGGTCTACAACATGGGTCCGCTCGCCGACCGCGTCATTCCCTCCGACGCGCTGTACTTCGACCCCTCTCGCTTCGACCAGCTGCCTGAGGCGGTTGGTCAGCTGGAAGTGCTGCTGGGGGGCCCGGCGGTTGACATCGACTGCAAGGGGGAGGGCAAGATGACGCTCGGTGACGGCACTTCTTATCCCATTCAGCTGGACAACGTGACCGACCCCGACCCGCCCGTCCGTCGGGGGACCTCTGCCCACTTCCGCTGCTTCTCTCAGATGGCCCTCTTCACCTGTCTGATCGCCGGCCGCATCAATGCCAATGCAGCACAGGAGCGCAAGACCATCCGCATCTCGCTCGGCCCCGTTCCCTTCGGCTCGCCGTGCATCCGGACGATCCGGCAGTATCTGCGCGACTGGGCGGACGCCTACGACGCCAAGCCACCCAAGCCAATCAAGATGGAGGTCGATTACCCCAACGCCCGGGCCCGGTTTACCTACGGTGTGGAGTCGCTCAATCCGACGATCGTGAGCGAGATGGTCGAGAGCTTCGAGACCAAGACGGCGCTGGTGCGGGTGCACATCGATGAGGTGGACATGTGTCACGAGAGCATGGGGCAGACGGACGAAGTCGAGGCCTTCAAGCTGCAGTCGCTCGTGGTGCAGTCGTTCGTGCGCAACCTGCAGCAGGTGGCATACCACCCCTTGGCCAGACACGCGCTCAGATATAAGCGCAACCACCCCTACCTGGAGAGGTTCCTGCAGTGGCCTTAGACAGTTGCTGGATGGATGGATGGCTGGTGGGTGGGTGCTCGCACAGGCAGCAAGGGAGGTAGGGAGGGAGGGAGGGATTTTGTGCATCTCAGTGTCAGTGGGGCAGTCTAATGGAGTGTTCGTTCGTGTGGACAGACAGATGTATGTGTCAGGACAGACGGACGGACATGATTGTATTCATTGCTCGTGAGTGTCGGTTGTCCGCGCAAACACGCATAAAGCCACACATCATCCGACCATTTCTCAACAAACAGCACGTCCATCAGGCTGCTACAAACAGTCACCATGGCCACCATGACCACCAGCCAGCTGCCCACCGAAACAAGAAGAGCATACCCATCCTTTTGGCCATCTAACACCCCACTGACTGTCGGCACGTACTCATGTATCTGAAGCTGCGCGGAGACGAAGCCACACACCTGCTGCCACGCATCCCTCTCTCATCACAACGCACATGTGTACGGGGCTTCCTAGTATACATCACTAACATCTACCGAGAGCCCAGCCACACATCTGGCTGGCTCATCAATCAGCCCTCACCCAGGCGCATGGGTGGCACCCACAAGACACAGCGAGTATGACACAATAGCCAGCCTGTCAGTGAACCGATGGTTTCCACGGGCGCCACAAGCGCACACACGCGTGCACGTCCATCCAGGTGTTCCACACACCACACGTGGGACAAGACACAAGCGTCACTGGACGGGCGAGTCTTCATCGCTCTCAGCGGACGGTGGGTCGTATGGGCGATGGCGATAGAAGCTCTTGGTCACATCGTTGGGGCCGAAAGGAGTGGGCTCTTTCCCTTGGCGCACGCAGACACAAGGAGAGGATGAGTGTGTCGTCTTGTCCCTCAGTCACACACACACACACACACATACGTACCAGGTGGGTATGCGCTGCAGAGCCTCACGCACTGGTCGAGCTGGCCGCGCATCGCAGACACAGACGGAGCCCTGAAACAACAGCCAGAGAACATATGAAAGCACACGTGTGCATTGGCAGTGTGGTCGAGCGGCTCTGCTGGCACATGACACTCACTTGTATCTCTGTCCGTGGCTCGGCAGCACCCACAGGAAGGAGAACTGCTTCAACATCTTGACAGACTCCAGCTGCACCCATCACGTACACACAGAGATATACACCGCATACATGACCTCAATGATCTGCTGCACCCACCCCATCAGCAGCCCACCCACCTGTGTGCGCCAGTTGTCCCAGCACACAGCGCGGATACACATGAGGGATTTGACGCGGTGCGAGTAACAAAGGTGGTCGCCTGTCATCAACAGACGGTCCTTGTACAACACACACTGCACACACCACACACACCACACACAGACATTCGGCTCCTTCTTTGTCTGTCCATTTGAATGCGTCCTATCCTCCACTCCCTCACCAGGTGCCCCTTGGTGTGTCCCGGCGTGTGGATGAGCTTGACGTCGGGGTCGCCGTCGGGGAGGGACGACACGGGCCCCTTGCCACGCACCCAGTGCTCCAAGCCATAAGTTGACTCGAACGGACCCACAGACAGGTAACACATCTGCGATGAACAGAACGTAGGGCGGACGGATGCATTGATGTGAACACATCTGCATGCATCAGCTGGCCGCACCTCGTCTGAGTGTAGTACACGTTTGCAGCCCGTCTGCATCCTCCAGAAGCTGTGTCCTTTGGTGTGGTCCCTGTGTGTCAGAACCAAGTACTTGACGCCGCCCCGCTGCATGACGAAGTCCACCACCTGCTTGGTGTGACTGGCGGGCTCCACCATGACGTTGCCCCTACCCTCACGGACGATCAGGTAGCTCTCTGTGCCGAGTGTGTGGGTGACGGCGCCCAGGCAGTAGAACTCATAGCCGTCGCCCGAGTCGATGAGCTCGGGGAAGCCCTCCCACTCGCTGGTCTCCTTCATGAGGCCGGCGGGCAGCTTGGTCCAGTGGATGGCCTTCGGGGGACAACCTGACAGCGTTAGCGAGGGAACGAGTGTGGTGGTGTCGGCGGGCGTGTTGGTACAAGAATGTGCTCGTGTGTGAGAGATCTTCTTACTTTTCACTGCTCGTCTCGTCTGAATGAACTCTTCGCGCGTGGAGGGCTGCTTCTTGACGTATGCACCTGCATAACACACGGCCACATGCGACCGACACAGCGGCTGGCTGCACTGTGGCCGTGTGTTACGGAATAGCGCAGCCTCCCCAAACACAGAGGGGCATGCGTTCCGGCAGCATCCCAATCCGCAGCAGAGGTCAAGATTCACGTCGACAGCACCGAACTCTCCCGCTGGCGGCGCCGCTGGCGTGAGGATCTTGTACTCCATCAGTTTCTCTTCCTCCCGCTTCGCAGCACGCCTGCAGGTCAGGTCAATGAGCAGTAGTACAAAGCATGTTGTGTGTGCCTTTGCCATCCGCGTACCATTTGCTGCCGAGATAGACGAGTGCTGAGGATGTGCCGAGGGCAGCAGCAGCCAAAGCCGCATAGCGCCAGTGTTTGTCAGCACTCTCGGACGACATTGCACAAACTGATGCTTTTGAAAATCAGCCGGAGTAGCTCCAGCAGATCAGTCCAGTCCAGACCGGATCTCTTATTCCAAACAGAGGAAGGCGACAGCACGGCTCCGCCGACCTGACTGAAATGGCAAAGACTTGGTCTGGGACGTTTTCAGCTCGCATTCTCCTCGACTTTTCTTTGCCATTCAGTCAGCTCGATGGAGCCGTGCTGTCGCACTCCAGACTTGTGGCATAAGCCACGAGATCTGCGCTGGAGGAACTTCTTTGGTGAGCTAGCACCCGTCGACCTCTCTACATCGCCGAGCTGCATAACAGCACCACACCACCCTGGGTCGTCATTTCGCATTTCGCATTTCAGCTTCCCAGAAGCAGCGGCCGAGGAGAATGACATAGAAGCAACCTCTTCTCTTCTTACCCTCTCTCTGCCTCATGGCGGCGACTGACTATCAGCTGACGCGTCTGCGTGTCATCTACACAGCGCGCGAGAAGCACCAGCTGAACCAGACCATCGACAACCTGCGGCGGACCATCGAGTGGGCCAAGGCGGAGCACCACATCGACTGGCCCACCCCCCGGCGCCAAGCACGGCGGCAGTGGCGCGTGACCTACATCAAGGGGCCCTTCCACCCCAAGAGCTACCGCCACTGGGTCTTCAGCGACTACCGATACTCATTCACCTTCTTCAACGTCAAGGACCCACGGCCCGTCATGAGTGCCGTCCTCGGCTCTATGTCGTCTCAGACGTTCTGCGAGTGCCAATTCGCGTGGCACCATCAGGTAGCTGGATAAGTGGGTGGGCAACCGGGAGGACAGGAGTGGAGGGAGCTCTCACGTGTGAGTGTGTGTGTTGTCTGTGTTGTGTTGTCTGTCTGTGTGATGTATGGTCTGTCATCAGGGCGATCCCAATGCGTTGAGTGCGTCGAGTCAGCTGGCGTTGCGTGACCGTGAGGCATTCATCTCGCGTGAGGTTCGTGAGGAGCATGCCTTGGGAAAGCTGCTCAAGGCCCTCGACAGACAAGACCTCAACTGGTTCCACATGAAGTACAAGTGGCCTGTACTATAGACAGACAGATGGACAGACACAGCGAGGGAAGTGACATTGTATGCTGATGGATGACTTGATTCATTCCTGATGCTGGTCCGTCCGTCAACCACCGCTTGTCGATACAAACAAACATTCCCCCACACGCACACAATCAGCTCATTCATGCGTCCGTCCACCAGAGAATGAGATCAGTCAGTTAAAGTAAGTCGTTTGCGCTTGACACGGGACAGGACAACGTAGCGTCGGCGTTGCGTGCATGCAGCGAGCGATAGAGATTCACTAGCACAAAAACGAACGCAGGACGGACACTCCACAGCCACTCTACGCTCTAAGCCCTGATGGCCATCGGCATAGGAACGTCATACCATCATCAGCCGGTCACTCCTGACGAAGTTTGGCACTCTTCGTCTGCCTGAAAGACGCACAGACAGCCAGACAGGGCCGGCCATGTTTCGACGAGGGAGGCCACGGCAGGCGGTGCTGTGCCCACCTGGCTTTGAAGAGGATTTCAATCAGGCCGCCCTCGAGAGTGTCCAGCTCTTTGCAGGACAAACCCTCCAAACGACATTCCTGGGGAGATGCATGAACAGAACAACGCACACCCATCGACACGCACATTGCCACAACCTGTGTGCTTTATCTGCCAACTCACGGCTAGCACTTTGAGAGCCTCTTGGACCGTCGCCCCCGGCCCAACACCATCCACACGCCCATCCAAGACATCAGCAGAGCCCACTGACACGGGCGCAGCGTCCCCAGACTGCTCCAGACCGCCCTCACCGCTTGGCTGGGCCTTCTGCTCGCTTGACCCGTTACTCAGGTTGAGACCACTACTGTTGATGAAGTCCAAGTTGACCGGCACTGGCTCCTCACATGACCCCTCCCTGCCCCCCGCCATGTGCTGCTGCTGCTGCGATAGCTGGTGCTCTCGCCAGACGAACGGCGGGGCCATCGAGTTCAAGCCAGCTGCACTCTTCTTTGCGGCGGCCGTCCTCTCGTCTGCCTGACCATGGCCCATCAGCGGTCGCGCCTGAGCCACATGCTGCTGCTCGAATTGTTGGTGGTGTTGGGGTGGTGGCATTGGCGGGGGCGGGGGATGAAAGATGTTGCTCCCCTGCCACATCGATGGGTCCATATCGGGCGGAGGGGGTGGGGGCGGGGGCGGCATGGGCACACCACCGCCCTCGAACGGCTGGTACGGCACTGCCGGCTGATAACCACACCCAGGACCGAAAGTCTGCCCAGTCTGACCGTTGTAGCCCCAGGGATTGATGAGCGGCACGCGAGACGGCGAGTGGAAGGCGTTGACGGGCGAGCGCGGCTGCGAGTGGACTGCCTTCGGGAAGGGATGCATGCCCGCAGGAGCCGGCATGAGGCCCTTCGATAGGTCCACTGGGGCCTTGGTCGGCGTGGGCGGCTGATGAGCAGTAGTGGGGGCCGAGGGGACAATAGGCGAGTCGGTGGACTGAGGCGGCTCGGGTGGGGCCGATAGTGGTTGCGGCGAGTCCGGCACTGAGACGGAGGAAGGGATGGAGCTCTTCTCCTTTGGTGGCTCCTCCTTCTCTTGCTTCTTAATCTGTTTGGCTTTGGTGGGCGGCGACGCTTCGCTGGGCTTGGATCGGTCCACCCTGCGGACGCTGAAGCCGCCCTTGCTCTTGGGGGGAGCTGTCGATGTGGTGGGCGGAGACGCGGGCGCGGCCTTGGGGGCAGCAGGAGGGGACGATCCCTCCTGGTCGCTAAGGGCGAACCGCAGTGAGTGGTAGGACCCGCAGGAACAGCCGCTGTCGCTGCTGGAGAACACCGTGAGACCAGGGGTGGTTGCAATCAGCCTGCAGACCAGACGACACCACAACACCAACACCAACACCGATACCGACACAATGAAAATGAAAAAAGAGCCGCCTGCTCGCTCGCTTTGTGTTCCGTCACCTGACCTGCATGTGGCGCACAGCGCATCCAGAGACAGGTTGTGACCCCTCAGCTCCGGCCTGATCGCATCCCGCCCGGCACCTCCACCACTCACTCTCTCTGCACCACCGCCACCAACACCACCACAACTACCGGCCTGCCCCTGGTTGTTCTTTGGGCTCGGGGGAGTGACTGGCGGCACCGATGTGGTCGTCATCTCGCCACTCGTGCCCTTCGATGGCTGCCGGGCGGGGGCTGCTGCACCGAGGGATGGGAAAGACTCGGTAGAGAAGTCGGGGGGCGGCTCAGGCTTCCTTGCCCGTTTCTCTTCCCTCTCGACGGCAAGAAGGCGTTGCTGTGCCTCGGTGGCCGCCACCTCGCGCGCCACGACGGTGTACTGCAAAGGGGCTATGTTTGGTGGAGGGGAGGCGTATGACTCAAAGAATGGGATGGTGCCGAAAAGCTCGGTGCCGTAGCTGTGATCCCAGTCCACCTGCACACAGATCGTGAAGAGTGATACCTGTGCTGTATCTCCTTTGCATGCATCCCTCGGTGGATGGATGGGCGGATGGATGGATGGACGGACCTGTTTGTCCATTAGTTCGCACAGCTGGAAGCCTGCTTTGGAGTCGAGTTCCTGGCCGTCTCGAGCCACTGGAAAACACACAGGCAGCCGAGACCACGCACATGATGCCTTCCTGCAATGAGTGCAGCCCCCACACACATGGTGCCGTCAGCGCTGGCTCACCTACCGCCACATGAGCAGAAATCATTGAGCTCATTCTTGATGCCCCGACAGTCGTCGTAATTCAATATGCACGACTTGAGCCTGACGTACACACACACACACACACACACACAGATATCAAACCGGATGTGAGCTGTCGTGCGCTGTGCTGTGCTGTGCCGTGCTGCGCTTGCCATTGGACGCGGAAGTTGTCACCGAGGAAGCGATACGCAGGCCCCCTGAACAGACAGACAGACCATCATGCCCCCCACAGCCTTGCAGGCACGTGGCCTGGCATGATCCGCCTCAGTCAGCTTACCAGAGGCCCTTCTTGTAGGTGCTGTCGGAGATAGAACACATGCGGCCATAGCTGTGTGGACATCGGACAGACACACATACAGACAATCAATCAATCAGGTCAAAGGACCAACAGGTCATGTCGGGTTCCCTCTGCCGTGCTGAGCTCACCCCATGAAGCACCCCGCATCGTTGACCGAGAAGATGAGAATCAGGTGCTCTATCGTGCGATACGCCTGGATCAAGAAGCTGCGTCAGGTGCACAGGCAGACACAGGCGAACGAATGGGGCACAGCGGACATGCATTGAATGCATTGAGCCCAAACCTACACCACGAGCTCGTGGGCTCATCGAGTCGCTTACTCGTTGTTGTCGGGTGTTGAAGCCCAACAAGACTCCTTGAACGACAACTGCATGCACCACAGCGCATTCCCGTTCGTGGCACTCTCGCACAGAAGTCCGCCATGTATTTCTGCCTGTTTCTCTTTGTCGTTTGTTTTGTTGTCTGTCTTTCTTACGAGCAGGTTGAGCATGGAGCGGCTCTTGAGGATGAAGAAGCGCGTGTTGGTGGTGTTCGGGGCTTTGTAGCCGGGGCATGCAACTCGCAAATTGCGAAGACCGGACGAGCGACGCTGCGCCGCACTTGGCGACGATGGGGACGACATCCTCAGAGCGTTTGATAAAGCCGCAGATTCCGACGTCTGCGAGCTTAGCCGCAAGGTGCGAGGTGTAACGTGAGGAGGCTGAGAGATCTTGGGGCACACTCGCCTTGCATTCAACAGAGAAAGTGAGGCACCACTTAACGCCGGCTGCCTGTCCTGAAAAAAGGCGAGCTTCGTCGACAAATCGGAGTGAGGCGGATGTTGGCGGGTTACAGCGATGCGCGGCTGGAGCGGACGCTGTACGTCGGCGGCCTGGACACAACCGTCACACGTGACGCCCTGCACGCCGCATTCATCCCCTTCGGCGAGATCCGCAATATTGAGATGCCTCTTGACATGAAATCAGGTCGGTACTGTACCTTTTGCCTACGCTCTTCTCACAAGCTCATTTCATGCATCTCTGTGGGTGTGCTGTGGTGTGGTGTGGTGTGGTGTGGTGTGTGTTGATGCAGGCAACCATCGCGGGTTTGGGTTTGTGGAGTTTGAGGACGAGGGCGACGCTTTGGAGGCGATAGACAACATGAACGAGAGTGAGCTGTATGGCAAGGTCATCACTGTCAACAAGTCCAGGGCGCCACAGAACGCCAAGACGGGAAGGGCCACCAGACCAGGTAGGTACCGGATGCGCTGCCTCCCGCCAAGGGTGCTTCGGCGACGCGTGTGCATGTCTGTCTTGTCTGTCCGTGTGTGTGTGTGTGTGTGTGCAGTGTGGGCAGATGACATCTTTTACAGGAAGCGGATGGCCGAGGGCGGCATGGAAGTCGACGTCGACAAAATCGTGAGCGAGCAGAGAACACACACACACACGCACACACATGCACACAACAGAAAGGCAATAGGGGGAGAGGCATCAATCAATGGATTGGGCACCCGTACGTGTGAGTGTGTGTGTGATGCCTGACCGAGTGCAGGGTGTGGAGGGCAAGGACGACGGCAGGGGAGGCGACAACGACGCGGGCAAGGAGAAGCAGAAGGAGGGAGCATGAGTGCCGGCCGACCGGCCGGACAGCGTAGCGGCAGCCGAGGCGTATGTGTGTGGAGTGTACATAATAAATACGGTGTCATACACGTGATGGTCATGTGAGTGATGGTCAGTCAACGGTTCGTGCGTCTGCATAGGACTTTCATCCGACCCTACCTCCCACTTGAATGATCTGATGACTCATGTCAGTACTGATTGATAGTCGAGTAAACCAGCCAGTCGCGTGAGAGGTGAATTAGGGTGAATTGGGTGGGTGTGATGCAGCAACTTGAAGCAAGCGTCAGTCAACCAAGCCGACCAGCCTTCAGAAGCCCATACTTGCACACCACATCCATCCACCAATAGACAGACTCTCGTTCATTCGCTCGACCAACCGCAGAAACGGCAGCAGCAGCAAACGTCATAGGAAGAGCAAGCCAACCAAGCAACATTTGCAAACGTCTCAGCCCAGCCCAGCCCAGCCCTGCCTCTCTGCCTCCCTCCCTCTTCAATTCATTGATCACTCGATCGATGGCTCGTTCCTTCAGGAGCCCTGCTGTGCAAACGACTGGTCGAAAGCAGATGAGTCAAACCCGCCGCCCTTGAACGAGCTCGAGAATCCCTGATCGAACGAACAGCAGAGATAAGACACAGCACAGGTATCCAGGAGTCAGTGTGAGTATCTGTGGCTGTCTGCTCCCTCCTTCTCTCCCGCCCCACCCACCTGTCCGAATCCGCCCCCGAAGGCGTCAGCACCAGAGGCCGCAAAGCCTTCGCCAAACGCGGCAGCACTCGAGTCCACACCGCCATGCTCAAACCCCCCTCCTGCTGCTGCTGCTGCTGCTGCGGATGCAGACATATCGCCGAACGCCGGCATGTCGAAGCCGTTCTGGAAGGCCTCTATTGGCGGTGCGTCGGTCTTCTTTGCCTTCTTGCTGCCCTTTTTCTTCCCCTTGCTCTTGGTGGTCGTCTTGGCCGGCTCCTCCGTCGGCCTCCCTGCCTCCACGGCAGGCTGAACCTCCTGACTGACGTGGTGCACGGCCGCCTCTGGCTGCCGCTGGGCGGGCTCCGGCTGCTGCACGGTTGGCGGCGGCATGACTGGCGCCATTTGGCTGGGTCGCCCCTCTGCAGGCGGAAGGTAGATGCTGGACGAGGCTGACGGCAGGTCGTCCATGTGTCTCTCCGCCGCCCGTTGGCTCTCCTCATACTCAAACCATCGCTGGAGTGACGTTGCGGTGCCCGCCAGCTTGGCGTCGGCCGTGTCGCCCCCCTCCCTCCTCAGCAGCGCCGACCGTGGGAGCGTGGCGGGAGCGACGTCGGATGCTCGACGCTGGTGCTTGTAGGGCGGCATCAGGGAGGAGGCGGGGACCGGCTTGGCCGTTTGGGTGAAGTAGCGCTCTGTCACGGTGAGGGCTTCCGCGAGCCCCTGGACCTCGGCCAGTGCCTTGTCCGTCTGCGCCTGTATCGGCGACGGCAGAGGCGATGGCGCGCTCCTCGCCTCTCCCGTTGCTGCTGCTGTGGTGATCTTGACTGGCATGGCGACGGGAGGGGGCCCGCTAAGCGCCTCAGCTGAGGACCGTGCGGAGACGCCGGGCGAGGGGGAGTCGAAATCCACCTCCGTCACCTCCTCCTGAAGCAGCTGGAACTTCCCCGAGCCAGCCAGGGCCTTGCCCGCGCCCATGCCGCCAACGTGTGGCACAGCAGGGTCGCCTGTCGACTCGGCCGCATCGAGGAAAGCCCCACTGTCCTGACCGTCGAGGAGCCCCAGTCGACTTGACGAGGCAGGAGGTGTCGCGGGCCACTCCATGCGCACAGACGGCCGGCGCTGCTGGTCTGCGCCCATCGGTGTGTCGCCGTGGGGCAAGTATATGGATGACGACAGCTGCAGCTGAGGGGCGATGTCGTCAGCACTCATGCGGACAGACGGGGAGGCGTCAGGCGATGCCGGTGGCTCGGCGGCGCGGGGAGCTGGAGCTGGCATCCGGGTCAGCGGACTCGGCTCAGCTTGCTCTGTCTGCCGAATGAGCAGGGGCTCAGGTTGCGATGTGGGTGGGGGGGTGGGCTCTGCGGCTGTGTCGATGGTGGCTGTGGCTGTGGCGGTGGTGAGTGTGTTGACCAGGAAGAAAGGCGACGGCTTGTGCTCCTTGACCAGGGTGCGGATGCTCTGCTCAAGCGCCTCGCTCTTGCCCTGACACAAAGACAACCAAGCAGACCAAGACAGCAACATCCTCCCTGCCCGCATCTCTGCCACCCCCTCGTTCAAACGTCATCCTCACCTTCCATGTGGCCAGGTATTTCTCAGCGGCCTTGAGCCCCCCGATCAGACGGTCATACCTCTCGACCTCCCCCACCAGCACCTCCCGGCTCATCTCGCCCCACCCCGCCCACTCGGCAGCCTCGTCACGCCTCATGCTCGGCGAAGGGGCACTGGGGTCGTTGGACCCCTCGGCCCCGCTCAGCAGCGACGGCGGCTCCCTGAGTGTCGATGGCGATGGCGCGAGGGAGGCCATCTCTTCCAGGGCGGCGGAGAAGCGCTCGACGCTGCTGCCTTGCAGAGGTGCTGATGCGGCCGGAGATGGCGGCGACAATAGTGCTCTGGGAACGAGCAAAAGGAAGGCAAACACACGGTGTTCACGTTCGATGGTAGAGGATTCTCGTGTGTGCCAAATTTGTCAGCTGACTGACATTGCGGCTGTCGGCGGCTCTCTGGCCCACTCGCTGTCCTCTACGGCACTGAAGAACTCGGGTGATGGCGACAGCGATGGGACGACGGGCAGGGGAGCAGGAGGCGCACCGAGACCGGGCTTGGGCATCGAACGCCACCGAATGGTGTCCAGAGCAGGGTAGTGGCTCTCACCTGCACATCACAACAGACAGACAAAGGGATATGCACAGATCCAATCCAGGGCTGGCGCGTCAGCTGCACTGCACTGCCCACCTGGTGAGTCGAACATGCCCCCCATGAAGCGTTGGTGTGCTCTGATGTGCATCGGGGCGCCCGCAGTGCCGTCCACCGAACGAAACCCCTGACGAAGCGACCATTTGGGATACCCCGACGCACATGGATGGAGCGACTGGTAGTCCTGCCCCCTCTGTGTGGGGTGGTCTCTCGGCTGCCGCACAGGCAGCAGGGTCGACCGCGGGTAGTGTGGGTGTGGGGGCTCGGGTGGGCTGGATGCCGGGCGAGCAGAGGAAGAGTGAGGGGTTGGCCCGGTGATGGTGAGGAGGGGCGGGATCGCTGTGGTTGTGTGTGTGGGTGAGGGTGACGTGATGAGGGCCGGGTGACCTGGAGAACCCTTGAGACGATCGAGAGCCTGGAACAGAGGGAATGGCGAGAGAGATGACAGAGCCAGCCAAGTGAGGAAGCTTGCTGTCTGCCACACGTAGGTACCGTACCAGTCTATAGAGGCGTCTGCGTGCCTGCAGGTGCAGCGTGAGACGTTTGCATCGCTCCCGCCACGCCACCAGCAGCCTGTGTCTCAGGTCCTCTTCAGCGATGAGAGCCTGGTGCATTGCCTTGTCCTCCTGAAGCATCTGCACCCACACCGATTTGTGCACACACACATATATGTCTACACACTTACGCCGCCAGAGCCGCATGGATCCGATCCATACCTGGTATCTCTCGCGCAGCACGACCGGCGATTCTCCCGTGGTTGTCGCGTCTAAAACAGAGATGTGAGGAAGGGCAGGCAAACCGATTCACTGGGATGCGCTGCCCGCCCGTCCCCTCATGACTGACTGACTGACTGACCGTCCGTCTGCTGCTGCTGCTGCTGTTCTCTCCGCTGCGTTGCGATCTCTCCCAGCAGCTGCAGCTCCTCCTCCAGATGACGCACACGCAACTCAAATCTCTTCCTCTGGACTGCGGTGTCGTTTTGCGCCTCGTGTCTTTGGCTCCTGCGCTGCTCTATCTGCTGCTGCAGCTCCTCCAGCCGATGGCGGAGAGTCGTGAGCTCCGACTGGCGGGCGGAGACGGACTGACGGAGCCGGACGTCTTCGTCTCTGAGTTGTTTTTCTGCCTTGTGCACGGCCTCCTTGATGGCCTGCACCTCACGGTCCAGCTGGACGTACTGATAACGGTGATCCTGACAGAAACGAGAGGGCATGGTGGATGATGCCATTGTGAGGTGACTGCGCTTCGTTCGACGTACCTCCTGCAATTCGAGTGCTGCCTTCAAAGCTCTCTTCTTGCAATCTGCACTCAGTCGACACACAGAGAAAGGAAGGCGTCTCCCCGTTCGTCCATCACCCCGCCCCTCCCTCCCCTCCCCCCTTACAAGGCATTCGTACCGTAGTACTCCCACATTTCGGTGAGCCTCGCACGCTCCTTGTCATTCTGCCGCCTCAGGCCGTGCGCGTTCGTCAGCATGTCAGCCAGGCTCTCCTTCATGCTCTCCACCTCCTTGGCGCGCTCCAACTCGGACATCGGGCGGTGCTGCAGACACAGGCACGCTTGTATGATGGAAAGGCATGCGTGTGTATAGGAGCGGCGGCGCGGCATCACGTACGGAGTGAAATTGCGCCTTCTGCGTAATTTATTGCCTTATCGAAGGTCACAACTTGAGATTCTCCCGGTCGACGCCCTGAGGGAGCTTCCACAGGGCCCTCGTCGTCAGACAGCTGCGTCGTCAAGGCGAGGGCGGCTGCGCGCTCAGCTCACAAACGTGAGCTTGCACCTTTCCCCATCGCTCGCGAGTGCTGTGCCTTCCCCCTGCAGCAGCCCTGTTGTGTGTCATCTTCGCTCTGTCAATTTTTCTGCCAGATCTAGCCTGACAGACAGAGGACACATGGCGTGCACCCGCCCGCTGCCCCGCGATGCGGCTCCCTTCAACAGCAGGTCGTCCATGCCGACCGACAAGTACCGCCCCTTCCCAGCTGTCCCGTTCGACGACAAGTGGACCAGGCGGACGTGGCCAGAGCAGACCATCAGTCGGGCGCCCAGATGGTGCTCCGTCGACCTCAGGGATGGCAACCAGGTGGACAGGGCAGACAGACAGAAGGCGTCGCATCTGGGGGGCGCATGACACGCACCAAGTCATCGTTTCTCTCGTGTGCATTTGTGTGTTTGTGTGTGTTTGTCGAGTTTAGGCATTGATCAACCCGATGTCGATGGAGAAGAAGATGAAGTTTTTTCTGCACCTGGTCAAGATGGGCTACAAGGAGATCGAGGTGGGCTTCCCCTCGGCATCGCAAATCGACTTCGACTTCTGCCGCCGCATCATCGACGAGGGCCTCGTACCTGATGACGTGTGGGTGTCGGTCCTCGTGCAAGCCAGAGAACACCTCATACGCAGGACCATCGAGGTGGGTCACGGGGGAGGGGGCGTGTTTCCTGTGTGTTGGACAATGGGCTCTTGTGTGTGTATGTGTGTGTGTAGGCTGTGAAGGGCAGCAAGCGTTGTCTGATTCACATCTACAACTCGACGTCCACACTGCAGCGGGAAGTCGTGTTCAAGGCAGGAATGCAACCGCACCAGCACCAGCATCAGCATCAGCAGCAGAGAACCACTGCTGCAGCTGCGATGTGTGTGTATCCTATCCATCAGATGGACCGTGAGGGCATCAAGAAGCTGGCAGTGGAGGGCACCACACTCATTCGAAGCCTCGCCAAGGAACAGCTGCAAGCAGGTCGGTCGTCTCGGCCAACCAAATGCAATCCTGTTGTGAGCACATCCATTCAATGGACTTGTGCTCCCTCCCTGCCGTTCCTCCCATCAGACGGCACCCGTGTTCGTCTGGAGTATTCGCCCGAGTCGTTCACGGGCACGGAGCTGGACTTCGCCCTTGATGTGTGCCATGCGGTGATGGAGGCGTGGGAGCCGACAGAAGAGGACCCCATCATCTTCAACCTCCCTGCTACCGTCGAGATGGCATCCCCCAACGTGTACGCCGACCAGATCGAGTGGATGCACACGCACTTCAAGGTAAGTAAGGTCAGCCTAAGACACACAGACAGACAGACAGCATCATGAATCGGATCGGCCGATGAGACAGAGATCTCCTTGTTTCCATCTCTGTTGTCAGGATCGTTCCAAGATTCTGTTGTCGCTGCACCCGCACAACGACCGCGGCACTGCGGTTGCGGCGGCTGAGCTGGGGATGATGGCGGGGGCTGACCGAGTGGAGGGCTGTCTGTTCGGCAACGGCGAGAGGACCGGCAACGTCTGCCTCGTCACTCTAGCCATGAACCTCTTCAGGTAGAAGCACCGGCAGTGAGGACTGCACGCCCTGATGTGTGGGTGATGTGATGTGCTGGTCTGGTCGATGCGATGCGATGCAGCCAAGGCGTCGACCCCGAGGTTGATTTGTCCGACATCCAGCGGTCGATAGAGGTGGCCGAGTACTGCAACGAGCTGGCCGTGCCTGAGAGATGGCCCTGGGCAGGCGCACTCGTCTACACCGCATTCTCAGGTACGCCGACACACAACAAAACCACACACCCGCAACGCATCACTCCCTCTGTGTCGTTGATCAGGATCTCACCAGGATGCGATCAAGAAGGGCATGACAGAGATGAGCCGCCAGTCGGCCCCTGTGTGGGCGGTGCCGTACCTTCCCATCGACCCCAAGGACATCGGCAGGTCATACGAAGCCATCGTCCGCATCAACAGCCAGTCGGGCAAGGGCGGCGTCGCCTTCATCATGGAAAAGGAATACGGCGTCGCCATGCCCAGAGACATGCAGGTCGGCACATCAACACACACACACACACATACACACACAGGATGGATCTCTGCTGTCCCTTGATCAGATGGAGTTCTCGAGGGAGATCCAGGTGGTGACGGACAGCACGGCCCGCGAGATCTCTCCCGCCGAGATCTTCGCCGTCTTTCACCTTGTCTACCTCGATCCAGTGGAGAGCGGCGGCAACGGCCTCTTCCAGCTCATCGACTACTCCTTCACACGCCAATCCCACATCAAGAAGAGCCCACAGCTCCCCACACGCACCGTCAACGCACCGGCGGCCAACGGCGTCCACAACGGCGTGGGTGCGGGTCACGTCAACGGCGACAAGGCCCTCTCCCGACACACAGCAGCCAGCAGCGACCTGGAGATCACGGCGGAGGTCATGCACAACGGCCGGGCCGTGACAGTGACGGGCCGCGGCAACGGGCCCATCAGCGCCTTCATCGACGCCCTCAACGGCCATGTGGGCGGTGAGAGGGCCTATGAGGTGACGGCCTACCACCAGGAGGCCGTGGGCAAGGGCAGCAGCGCGGCGGCCATCTGCTTCGTGCAGCTCAAGTCGGCCATCACGGGCCGGGAGAAGCGCTTCGGGGTGGGCATCGACACCAACGTGTCGACGGCGGGTCTCAAGGCCATCTGCAGTGCCGCCAACCACCTGGGGCGGGTGGAGAGAGGCGACAGGGCGTACATCACGGTGGAGCAGGTGAAGCAGAAAGTGAGCTCACTGCCGCCCAACAGGCCGCTGCACTTTGACCAGGGGCCTTAGTTTTAGCCTGGGTGGTGGCTGGCTGATTTTTGCACATCGCGGGTCAGATGGGAGGATGTGGACGGGTGCCTGGTTTATCGATTCTGGCTTCAATGCATTCATTTTTCAGCTCGTATGTGTATACGTATGTGTGCACGTATGGACGTTTTTAAGGAGGAGTTTGCCGCGAATAAGTGGTCTCGTGACAGAGAGACGTCAAATAATCTCGTGCTCCCTTGGTTCTGACACCAACGGTGTGGTTACTCACGCTATGATGGAATGCCCATTGACGGTCGGCACCACAGCATTCATTAACGAACGTCACCGTGAATGACCGATGGGTCATACAAACGAAAAATGCGTACGAATCGTCTGACAAGCAAGCAAAACACCTCACTCACCATTAACGAACGACGAGCAGTCTAGCCCACTCGCCACACCTCAATGTCAGATGCAGTGAACATCTGCGCCCCTGCTAACGTCCCATCACCGTCAGCATCCACCTGTCCCACGTATCCCGCAGGCAAGCTGGCCTTGCTGATCCACATTCTGCAGCGGTGAAGATCGCCACTAGGGCCCGTCACATCGTGGTCATTCGACCCCAGCTCAAGGTACGCCGAGTCCCAGGCGTCAATGGACAGATACGTCCTCCCCTGGGCCACCCCCTCCCGACCGGCCACCGACACCGCAGAGCGGTTCTCCTCAGGGATGGGGACCTTGGTGGGGGTGGGATTGCCGCAGGCCCCGCTGACCGAGTAGAAGAAGAGGCGGCATTCGGACTGCGCTTCCTTTGTGGGGTCGCTGGGCTGCTTGAGTTGGCCGTCGATGAAGGCCCCGAATCGGTGTGTGTCGTTGTGCTGCACGACGACCAGTAGGCCGCTGGCGTCGCCGACAGAGTCGATCAACCTGCCGTATCTCCAGCCATCTCTCGTCGCCCTGTGTGTGTGAGAGAGAGAGCCCACATGAACTTGCTACATAAACCGTCCTGGCATTGTCTCGGCTCACTTGTAGAGCAGCTCTCTGGTGTGGCTGGGTTGGTTTGTCATGGCAATGACGGCCTGCATCTGCTCGTCGCTGAGGATCGGCTCAAACACATACTCGCCCGACACCTGAGGACGCACAGCACACTCGATCAGCACTCCACCGACACAATGCACCGCACCGCACCCACCCAGCGATAGACCCGCCCTTGACATACCTGCCAGACCTCCAGTCCTTCGAGAGGTGGCGGTATCTCGGCCCCTGCAAGCGTGCCGTCGCCATCCTCGTCGATACTGCCCGTGTAACCCTCCGGAAGATGTCCTTCTTTGACCCAGGTGCAGTAGTGACTCAGGTCGGGAGCTGGGCCGTCGGAGAGTCGAGGGTCGGTGGGGAGCTGAAAGCCAAGCCACAGGCCTGCTGAGTCGGTGCTGTCGCCCCCGATGAACAGATTGGCGACGCGCCTCTTGAGGTTGTCCATCACTGCCCCTAGCCGACCACCCACCAGCACCGCCTGTGCGTCCTCAGGGATCGGAACCTTGGTCGCAGTTTGGTATGGGCCACTGGCCGAGTAGAAGAAAATGGGGCAGTAGGTCTTCATCCTACATCAATGAGTCCATCCGTGCATCCATCCACTCATCCATCCGTCAATGTCTGCGTCACTCACTCTCCGGTTGGCTTGGGCGGGAGGTTGAGCTGCCCGTCGAGAAAGAAGCCGGACTTGTTGGTCGCGCTGTACTGCATGACGAAAAGCAAGCCGCTGGCATCGCCCACACTGTCCAGCAAGCTGCCGAAGCTCCACGTGTCACGGCTGGACCTGCGACGAAGAGACGATATATTGATGAACGTGAGTCAGCACAGCCCTGCTAAGTCGATGCCCATCGTGTCTGTCGGCTCACTTGTAGAGCAGACGTTTGGTCGGCTGTCTTTTGTTGGTCATGTCGATCACCGCCTGCATGTCCTCGTCAGTCAATATGGGCTTGTACACCTTCTCGATCTTCAGGCCATACATCTCGCCATCGCGAGCAAGCTGTGCCTGGCGGCGCACACAGCACAGCCACATAAGAGTGACAACACTCCTTCTGGACATTCATTTCTGCGTCAGTCAGCTGAGGCCGCCTAGCTACCTGGTTGTGCGCCTTTGGCGGGTCGACGACGCCGTTGGCTGGGGTGAAACGGGTACGACGCGCAAAATCGACTGACACATGGAAGGGGAAAACAGACAGACAGGTGCCGCAACACGCATTTATTGACACGGCGAGTGTGTCGGTATGTACCTATCTTCATGAAGTGATCCGATTTCGTGTGGGAAAATTGGCCCGGGCCACCTGCACAACACACAGCACGCACCACACACCAACTGCTGGCCCCTGCCTGGCTTCTCTTCCCGCCCTCATTTCCCTTCCTCACGTCGTAAAGCGCCTGTAGAGGGCGTTGTGGGGGCCGAAGTATGTCAGCGTCTTCTCGAGTGTCGACACCCTTTTGCCCAGAATGGTCACCGACAGCACCTTGTCGCCCTCCCCACCACCGTCGCCATCGTCAGACCGCATGAAAGGCCCCATCGCCTCGTAGAACTTCTCCGTCTCCATTGCCGTCTCCTCCAGCGCTCTGACGGCGGCCTGAGCGCGGGACAGATGCTGCTGTATGGCCTTCAGGGCCGCGCCGCTCTCTCCCCCGTCGCTCCCCTCTTCCGCCCCCGGCTGTGCTCCATCTATGTCCATCATGCCGTCATCGCGCTGCTGCTGCTGCTGCTGCTGGGGTGCGATGTCCATTTGCAGCTTTGTTTTGGCGAGGAGAATGGGTTGGTAGAAGGTGTAAGATGCGTCGCTCTCGTGGCCGCTGTGAAGCTCGATCTCGCCGCCTTCATGACCCGCTATCTCATCCATCAACCTGAGGGAGGGAGGGATGCATCGGAACGATGGGGATGACGGCGCTTCTGCGGGGTGTTGTCTGAGCGTGTGTACTATGTCGCCGACCATTCAAACCAAATGGGATCAGCGTCGAGGAAGGGTCTGCCGTCCTCGTCCTTGGCCAGGCCGTCCTCGTAGTGCAGCAGCAGGTGTGCAAGCATTGTGTCCTTCACTCCATCCTTCAGCAGAGACGGACGGGGAACGGGAAACACTCTGCCACCTGATTCATGCAAACAAACAGAACAGGCAAAGCCAACGGTCCACTGATGAACAAACACACACACACACATGGGCACCTTCACTTTGCTGGTTCGTACCAACGTTGAGCTGGAGGTCTTCTCTCACCGTCCCCACCGTGCATGTTCCGCCCTTTGCGATGATGCGCTGTCGAGTGCTTGAAGCAAACCGGTCGACTGCACTGTCGATGCCACCAGCAGCACGACGCAAGGTGTCCACGTCGGAAGCCTTGCGCTTCTTCTCACCGGTGCCACCTGCAGGGTTGTCCATCTTCGCTGAAGCGCCCGATAGCCCAGATCTCGCGTCGGTTTTGAAGCTTAGCTCGCGTTTCCGTGAAACCGCTCTCTCAACACAGGGACGCGGAGACGCGCGGCGATGAGATCTTATCACATTGGGCTTCTCACAAGCCTCATCTGTATCTTTCCGGCCGCCGCATTTATCGCCCCGATCACGTGGCGTTCGTTGCTTGCGCAGAGGAAGGTTTTGCAGATCTCAGCGGTGGAGGACCCAGACAGCGGCGGGCCTGATCAGCGACAGCTCAACAGGAAGCTTGCGGACGCCAGGAAGCTGCATCACGTCACCAGAATCATGAAGGACCACCTGGAGGTCAGTGATGCGATCATGCACACAGATCATCCAGACGTCTTCCTTTTGCCTCTCCTTGCCTTGTTCAGGACTTCGACTCGCTGAATCTGATCACGGCCCTTCATCGTGTGGCCAAACGTGCAGATGGGAAGAGCCTCGCCAACCTGCTGAGAACGGACCTCCGGAGAGGCAGGAAGACGGTGGAGCGGCTGGCGCACCGGCTGATGGAAGAGCTGCCCTCCCAAATCAAATCGCTCCCTGATGTCAACCTGGCAAATATCATCTGGGCACTCGGTGAGTAGACACCCAAGAGCCGTACTTAATTCTCTATCAAGCTTCCTTGATCAGGTCGCCTAGAGGCTCCCGCGTCATCTTCTGAGTGGCGGCCTCTCTATTCTCTCGTTGCAGAAGAGATCTGCACCTCATCTCGTCTACCATCCATGTCTAACCAACAGCTATCCAACCTGCTCTGGGGATTTGCAAAAGGAGGTGTCCGTGACAAATGTGTCTACGACGCCCTCATTCACGAGCTCACTTCACGTGCCAGAAGCAGCAGCAGCAGCGCCGGCCTGACCGAGCAGGACTATGGGATGGCCTTTGATGCAATGGGGTTGCAGCCGGATGTTCTCAGTCAGCACGCGTGTGTTGGGGAGCTGTGCGAGCGTGTGGCTGGGGAGGCGTCGAGGCTGAGTGGGTGGGCCCTGTCGAACGTGCTATGGGGGATCACCAAGATGGAGAAATGTGCTGTCAGCGACAAGGCGGCTGAGCTGCTGGTGGGTCGTCTGGTGGCGGTGCTGAATGAAGACAGTGGAGGTCTCAGCCCACAGGGAGCTGTCAAAGCGCTGTGGGCACTTGTGACACTCAAAGTGCGTTAACAATATGCAACAGCAGCAACATGAGCCAGGGATACTAAATGCTCTCCTCGTGTGACCTGCCTGTGTGGGGGTGGGCTGGTGCAGATGCATGGACGGCTGGGTGAGTGCCCCAGCTGGCCCGCGATGCTGAGCGGCATGTGCTCTTTCATCGTCAGCCACGCACAGAAATTCCCGATGCAGGCACGTAAGGCGGCCCTACCACAATGCACACGAACACCCACCTGTACGTGTACCAAATGCGAAACGCCATATCCCACTCGCAGTCTCTCGCGTTGGCTGCTTGGTCCCTGGCCAAGTGCAATGTGCGAAGGCGTGACGTGTTCGACGCCCTGGGAAGCGTCAGCGCACGGCGCATTCAGCAGGCCAAACCACAGGTGATTGATTGGTGGATGAATGACACCGAAAGACGATGTGCAACTCATCCACATTCTCACGTCACCCGTGTGTCTGTCAGGACATCAGCAATCTGTGCTGGAGCTTCGCCTCCGTCGGCGTCCCCCATCGTGGCCTCCTCGCCGCTGCGATGAGAGAATGCGCTGCGCCAGAGAGGCTGGGGGCCTTCTCAGAGCAACACGTATGCAACACAGGTATGTGGATGACTGGACGGAAGGCGATTGTGGCAGATGGATGCAATCAATGTGGTGGGTGTTCGTTCAGTGTGGGGCCTGGCGACCCTCCTCCCTATGCGCCCTGACCTCCTCTACCCCCAGCCGGCCAATACCAGCACATCATCGACAAACGACGAAACGCCCGCCCTTCTTCCGTCATTCCTCGCTGCCCTCGCACACGAGATCGACCATCGGCGCGGCAGGCTTGGCCCCATGGATGCCGCCGTCATCTCGTGGGCCATGGCGGCGATCGATGCGGCACCGATGCTGCCAGACAGTTTCGTCGACGACCTGAGAAAAGCGTTCCTGCAGGAGGAAGCCATGGCAGCAGACGGTGCTTCGCCGCTGGTGCTGGGACCGCTGGATGTGACGAACTTGCTGTGGGGGTTTGCGAAGAGTGGGCAGCTGACGGAAGACCTGCTCCAACAAGTCATAGAGAGGGGGACCTCAGCACCGAGTGGTGACGACGATGCCGAACCCACCGGCAGCGATGACAGCCCCCTCTCGCCCTTCGGCTTCCCGTGGCCAGCCTTCACGCCCCAGCACCTCGCCAACCTGGCCTATGCGGCAATGGACCTCCTCACATCTGCCGCTGCAGCACAGGGTGCCGACGGCGTCATCTACATGAGCGACCAAGACGCCCCCACACCATCATTCGGCATTCCAACTGACGCCTCCCTGCCCAGCCGGCAGCTGGCCGATGCTGTCAAGACAGAGGTCATTCGCCGGCTGGAGGGCCGAAGTGACGGCACTTGTGACGGTGATCAGTGGGGCGACGATTGGCTGGCTCTTTACTCCCTCGCGAGCAGCTTTGCTCTCATGGGGGTGATTGATGAGCGGCTGTTCAGGATGATCCGCGCGAAGGTTGAGAGCCTGTCTGGTCTGTTGCTCCGGAAAGATGGCATCAGCAGCGAAGGTGAGCGAGATGACGAGAGGTCCGAGACTGACAGTGGAGAGCTCAACGGGAGAGAGGCCGCTGCTCTTGGGAAAGAGGCGCCCCTCGTGCTGCACGAGACGGAAGATGTCATGGTAAGGAAAGCAGACAGACGAAAGGGCCGACGTCATGCATCCATTGCGGCGTTCAGGTGCTGTACAAGCCTCCCAGATGGTCGTGCGCCCCTCCCTCCTCGGCTGACCGACCGCCCTCAGTCCCCTACCGACCCCGCAACGACTTGTCGCCGCATGAGATGCTCGCCAGCAACACAGTCGAGGATATTGCCGACCTCGTCCACAAGGCCAGGCCCGCCGAGGGGCGGTCGGATGCAGCGTGCCCGCAGTCTGACAGCAGGGTGTCTTTGGGGTTCGTGCATCGTCTCGACGTGGACACGTCTGGGCCGGTGCTGGTGGCCAAGAGGTATGCCGCCTACCACCGGCTGAAGTTGCTGCTGGAGAGTCGGCGCATGACCAAGCTCTACCTCTGTCTGTGCCACGGGAGCTTGCCAGACCGGCCTTTCGCGTGTGAGCACTGGACCGACCAGCATGCTCAACGCACCTTTGCACCTGTGCTGTGCGTGTGTCGTGTTGACATCAGGTCGCCGTCGGCTGATGGTCACCGGCCGCACAACCATCGTCAGCCCGGCTGGAAGGCCGGCACTCACCTTTTGCTGGCCAGTCGAGCGATACGCGGCTGCAGGCCGCAACCTCACCCTGGCGGTTGTGGCCATCGCCACAGGCCGGCAGCACCAGATCCGCGTGCATCTGAGCACTCTGGGCTTCCCATTGGTGGGCGACGCCATGTACGGCGATGCGGAGAGCGACGCGGCACTGGAGGCGCTTCTCTCGTCCCGGTGCCCTCGACAGTTCCTGCACGCGTGTTTCCTTGCCTTCGACGTAGGTGACCATCACGGTGTCCACACCGGCAGACGCAAGATGTCCCCTCTGTGTGTGTGTGTGTTGATTGGCTCCGTCAGGACACTTGTGTGGCGTGTCCACTGTCGGCAGACCTGCAGAGCTACCTGACTGCGGTGAGGGAGTGTCTCGTCACACAGGACGGTGATGGTGGCGTAGAAGTTGGGCTCTCCAAGGTGGAGGAGACGTTGGGAGGGGCCTGGTCTCTGCGTCAGCTGGTGGATGGGCGTCTTGAAGGCAGGTCTGTCTGTCTGTGACTGAATCAACCCGATCGTCTGAACGTGTGCAGTCGATGGGTGCAGTGAGTGCATTCGAGTGAAGGTGTGTGTACAGTCATGTATGTGTGTCGAAATGTGTTTACTTACTTAGTACGTCATCGAGACAGCCACCCAGACAGACAGACAGACAGGCAGGCAGGGGCGTTCGACGTCATGCGATTCACACACAGACATCCATGCCATCCATCCCATGCACACCCATGCCATGTGTTGTGTGATGCTATGTGCCCAGCAGCCAGGGCCAGCAGTGACGCCCTCGATCAGCAGAGAGGGGCGTCACCCAGCCGCCGGCCGGACTGATGCATCAATGTGTGTACCAGCCTTTGCATGTCATGGGTGTAGTCCAGCCGCTTCCAACATGCTTACTCAAAGCTACAGCGTGCCCACTGATGGGTGTGAGTTGGTGGGTCAGGCAGAGCACACGCATTTGAATTTGTGAGGTGTGTGTTGTCGGTCGGGCGGCTTGCAACCATGGTTTTGACGCACACCTATTGTACACGGTCTCATGCGATAAGTCAGTCGGCAGTCGATCACCGAAATAAACAGAAAGGTGGGTCGGCACACGATTGGCCGACAAACGCAAACACCTCTCACCCACACCCAAACACCCCCACAGCAGAGCAGCTGGATGAGTGCAGAGCTGAAAAATCACACAGCATCGGTGACAGCAGAGAACACTCATCCTCGCACTCATGAAGCTCATGCACACGCACAGGCTGCCCGCTCACTGACCTCACTCGCTCAAAAACGAACGACCGGTAGTCTCCGCCTGGCTGTTCGAACGAGAGCTTCAGCTCGTGCTCTCCTTTCTGACGCAGCACCACCGGCATCCTTCTGATCTGATTCCCCGCCCCATTAACCTCAACCACAGAGGACAGGCCCCTGGCCTCCACATAAGCTCTACTCAACTGCGCTCTTCCATTGTAAAGACCTGCCTGCCTGTTCCCACTCGTGAACTGAGCGAAGAACAAACCCGGGCACTGGAAGACAAAGCGCAGCTGTGTTGTCTGCCTGTTCATGAAGCACTTGAAGAAGTGTGCCGATGACAGAGGCCCACCGCTCTCACGCCACGGTCCGTCAAGTGCATCGTGAATCAATGCCCATTCATCTGGGCTGTTCGGCAGGAAGAAGTCGCGCTCGGGAGTGTTGCTCAGGTCTATCCCCAGCACCTCGCTATCGATGTCTTGGCGTCCGAAAAGCTCCTCTGTCAGGTGAGAGTGTCTCCAGCTGTTCTTGACCAGCCACCTGAAATGACAGCGGAATGCTTGGTACTTCTGCGAGGGTGTGCCCGTCTCTCTTGCTTTACTTACGAATTTCGCCGTGTGGTGTCTTCTTCCACCCGATGATGACGAGAGCATGTCGGCCTAGATTGGGCCCGGGCCTCTGCTGCGTGTCGTACGGTCCTCGTCGGCCGCCAGTGAAGTCATTCCGGACTGCGAAGCCTGCAGTACAGCAGAATGGGCATCTTCACAGGCTGACAGGAGCTCGCCCATTGAGGCTTACTTGCAGACACGACAGGGCCTTTCTCGTAGATCCACCTGAACATGAGGGAAAGCGACAGTCAGATGACATTCTGTGTGACAACTGATATCGTGCATCACTCAGCTGACCGACAGATCTCGTGCACCCGCTGCAGATTTGATAGGCCCTGTCCAATGCGAGTTGGAGGCTTGCCGGTGAGACACTCCAGCGCAATCGCGGGGTCACAGCCGCTTCCGAGACACGTCTCTGCGTCACCGCAGAGAGGAGCCAGTCGGTTTGGATCGCATTGACGTCTGATCTCCGGAAGGTCACTTGGCGCACAGTGTCGCTGCAGCTGAGCCGCGCACAGGTAGGCGCACCCTGTGGCGTGGGCCCAGCATGTGGCCCTCTGCTGGTGTGTAGGGCAGTCGAGCACTTGGCCGAGTATCGGGAAGGCTTCTCGGCAGTCGAAGTTCAGTGGAACGTCCCTAGGAGGCCACAGCTCATCTCTGCTTGACATGGGAAGCGGAAAAGTTCCACGCAGCGCCAGAAAGGCCGACAGCCGAGCCAACAAATCGAGAGATCTGACAAAACTGACAGCTGGAGGGTATCTGCTGAGGGTCGCAACGTCACCAAAACGCCCTGAATGGGCGCCAAGTTTGCGCCAGGTGGTGGTGGTTAAGGGTATGATTGTCCGTGTGTCCATGCGCTGGGACAGCCAAGTTGCGCGGTAGCTAAGCTGCATGGGGGATTGGAATGTATCTATTTATTTAGTGAGAGGGGCGGCACTTCCGAGCCTCAGCACACCAGCGGCACATTCATTTCAACGTCGGCGGCACTGTCTTCGATTTGTCGCGTTAAGTGTCGCGTGAGTGTATGTGTGCGAGCAGTACGACAGACAGACAGGCAATTAGTCTCAGGTCATCATCGATCCGATCAGCCGGCGGTTCGTCCAGACAATCCGTTGATCCACTCCACTCACTCACTCCACACGAATCAATCAAATAAAAGCGTCCCGTCCCGTCCGAGCGAACGAATTCGATGTCACGAATGTGCCATGTACACCATTCACTTATTCTGTCATGATTGATCATGATCACAGACAGGATTGTGACAAATATGCACAGGAGAGAGAGGCAGGCGAGGCGCACTGGCAGCACTGGCAGGCAGGCCGGCAGGGAGGGAGGGAGGAGAGACGATTAGCCCGCGACGAGCGAGCGAGGGAGCAGAGATATCTACTTCCTTCCCCATCCATCCAGCCATCCGTACCTTGCTGTACATGATACACATACGATATCTGAGCGCTACGGTTCCGGCCGCAGCACCAGAGCCACATTGTACACCTGCAGACAGACAGACAGACACAGTTACCGCATCGCTTCCCCTCCCCTCCATCCGTCAATTGTCGATTGCCGCCGTACCTTGCCCATGGTCTCAATCTGTGCACACTCCATGCCTCTAAAACACGAACCCTCACCTGCACACCCAGGTTGAATCACCGACACACACGACCGGCAGACATGACTCTTCTCTTCTGCGTATGTTTCTGCTTGGCGTGTTGAGGCATCCGCCCACACCCACCCACCTACTGACCTACCTGCGTTTGGCACGACGGCCACTGCGATGCAGTGAGGGAACAGACGATCGTTTATCACCGTGGGCAGGTGGGGAGGCTCTGCACACGCACACAGAAAAGCGCACCAGCACAAGAAAACCCGGATTAACGCACATACAGGTGTCGACTTGCCCGTCCATACAACTTTGCCCACCCATGTGCCCACCCGGCGGCTTCTCGTCCTTCATGATGGCATCGTGGGCCTCCTGGCGTATCCTGAGACGATCACACAGACAGACAGGTGACGATAGACAGCTGCTCAGGAGAATGGTTTGCTCTTCTGCCGCTGGTGTTCCTGTGTGTGTGTGCGTCATACTTGTCTTCAACGTATCGGACGGCCTCCTCCATGAGCTTGGCTCCCCTCTCGGTGAGCGTTTTGTTCCGCCAACGAATCCGCATGATGGCTAACGGCACCGCTGTGGCAGGGAAGCGTCCCAGCTGCCTAGGAATCGTCCAAGCTCTCGCTACCGATTTCCGCCTTTCCTTGCAGCTCGCAGAAGCTGCGTTTACAACCGACACGGGACCGTCTGAGCGCCCATCACTTCATAGCAATGGCGGCGGCCGCAGCATCAGGCGCATCCAAGAAGCGAAAGGGCATTTTCGGCCTGCCCTTCGACGACGAGCAGCCCCTTCCCCCCTCCTCGCTCGACGGCGTCACAACGAGCAGCGTCGAGGGCGACAGGCGGCTCCATGCGGTCCAATCGTCTTTGGAGCGGCTTCTCACCGAGGCACTGGCGGGATGGAAGGCGGCGGAGAACGAGGCCAAGCGGCTGGCAGAGGAGATGCATGCCATGATCAGCGAGAAGGGCGGCCCACGGGAGCCCCAGCAGACCAGCGGCACTCTCACTCTCAACGTCGGCGGCACCGTCTTCCCGGTCTCGCGTGCGGCCCTCATGCGGCCGTCGATGGTGCGAAATTACCTGTCAGTGCTGCTGCTGCGCTTCGAGGCCGCCCTGCCCCACGACGCAGAGAAGCGGCCCTACCTCGAGAGCTGCCCGGCATACTTCCGCTGGCTCCTCAACGAGCTCACATTCGTCGAGCGGGGCCGCGAGGACGCCATCGAGCTGACCGCCGCCCTGCAGAACGACCCATCGTATGCCGAGTACCACGCGCTCTTCATGAGGGAGTTCGGCAGCGGTGATGGCGACAGTAGCGGCAGTGGCGATGTGCAGATGGGAGAGGGGGAGGGGCAGAGGCAGACGGATGTAGCGGGGCCCTTTGCGGCGTTTGACGAGAGCCGCCGCCTGTATGAGCGTGCGTACGAGGCTCTCAAGGCGGAGAAGGAGCGGACGGCGGCCTTCCTGTGCGCGATGGAGCCGTTCATGAAAACGGACGATAGCGAGGAGGACGAGGTGCTCAGCGTCACCATATTGGGGGAGAGGGTGTCGGTCATGCGCCGGACACTGTCGCCTCTCGGCCCCACCAACAGCCCACTGCTCAACAGATTCTCACCGTAGGCAACGAAGAGGGCGGAAAAGGCACGACGACATGGGTTGTCAAATGCTCTCCTCTGTGTGTTGTGTGTCTTCAGGACGTACCAGTTGGAGCCCGATGTGCGTCAGACCTCAGCTGAGCATCTGCAGCGTGTTGTGGATTTCGCAAGGCGCCAGGCCGTCATGCCTGCCGGCCAGAAGGTCGCCCCACCTGTGATCGAGCGGCGCAGAGAGCTGTTTGTAGAGGACCTGCAGATGGTGAGTCTGTCTGAGTGGGTGCTATTTCAGTCGACATCTGGCATGTGTCGGTATTTTCTGTGTCAGTACGGCCTCAAGCACCAGCCCTTCTACCGATGGGGCGCGGGCGGCGACCTCATCGTCACATCGGAGGACCACCTGGCGTCATTGGTGGAGCTCACGGGGCGAATGAGCAAGCCGCCCTCCCTGCTGTACAAGTACGCGGACACGCAGAAGGAAAGGATGGGCGACTGAGGGGTTGGAGAATGTCGTGTGCATATGGATGTCTTGTTTACGATAGGTCGAGCCGCGACGGTTTCGGTCACAGCAGTCTCCTCGACTGTGTCAGCGACGTCAGCAATCTGCTGTTCGTCGTGCAGCACAACGACACACACAAATTTGCAGCCTTCGTGGACGGCCCCCTCGAACCACCCGCCGACCCCACATCGTACGAGACCACCGACTGCCCCGTGAGGGTCTACAGCATCAGCGGGGCGTGTGACGGACCCACCAGGATCGACACGCCACCCGACGGTCGTCAGGCGGTGGCGGTCGCTGGGCGGGAGGGGGCGGTGAGGTGGCTTGGTGGGCGGCCATTCGCCAAGGTGGCCATCTATGTGGATGATGCAGCGGGTGTGGTGTTAGCTTATGCTGAGCCCGGCCTGGCTGCCGACCTCAGCAGCTGCGGCATGATGGTCAAGAATCCCTACTTGCCGGCCGGATATCGGGGACCGGTGGATGCGGCGGGCGATGGGACTCTGGCGGGCAGCATGACCTTCACCATCACTGAGATGGAAGTTTGGACCCTCTCGTGAGAGGACAAGTATCATATCACGGGTGGGAGACATGCAGTGTGGAGCCGTACTTCAAAGATGTCTTGCGTTCGGATTGTTGTGGCTTGGTGCGTGTTTCTGTTTAGGTGTAATGCGTGAGCGAGCCAGCCAGCGGTGGGCGATATGATGGATAGCTTACGGTAGCCAGTATACATGCTCACATGGGTGGGTGATTGTACAGCTTCCTGTGTGCGTAGACGCATGGACGTGATTCGTGCTGCTACGTGTCTGTCCATGGCGGCTGACCAACCTCTTCTGTGTGAATGAATCAGAGGTCGGCAAATGATTTGTCACACTGCAGGTCCCCACCCACCAAACATCCATCAGTCATCTCGACTTCTTCAGATATTCGTCACAGCCAGATCACTGCACGCCTCCACTGGAACGAGAAAGACAGACATCAGAGTGCCCCCGGTTTGCCGGTGCGCTCCTCATAGTCCTTGACCAGTCTGTCAAGCTGAGGCTGCACACGCTCGCGAGCCTCGGGCGGCAACCGGTCGATGTACACGACACCGTCAATGTGGTCATACTCGTGCTGGAAGATGCGGGCCTCCCAGCCACTCAACGTCCGCTTGGTCGACTTGCCCTGACACACACACACACACACAGATGCCCACACATTCAGACAGATCCATGAGCAAGTCAGGCTAGGCTGCATTTGCGGATGAGTGAGGTGAGGCCGCTCACGTCAAGGGTGTTGTATTGGACGGTGATTTCCATGCTGCGGGTGACAGGGCCGTTCATGTCGGGGAAGGACAGGCAGCCCTCGTCCATGACATCTTTCTGAAGCGACTGATCCACTGCACACACACAGAGCCAACCAACCAAACAACCAGCAGCAAAGTGGCCGCATTCAAGGATGTGCGTGTGCGTGGCCATCACCCACCCACATCGTCCACCCACCCACCCCTCATACCGATTTGTGGATTGAGGAGTATCATTTCGCTGTCTTTCCTCCGCATCCTCCCCGACGGATTGAACACCATCAGCCGCTTGTTGATGCCAACCTGACGCGACGCACGCACAGGCAAGCTGACGACTGTGTACTGAGGAGAAGCGCTGTATTCGCTGCTCACCTGTGGCGCGGCCAGTCCCACCCCTCCTGCCGCATACATGAGCTTGAACATCCGAGTGACAAGGCGCTGAAGCAACCAACACACGAGCACGGTGGCACACATGCGATGCAAGATGGTGGTCGGATGCTCACCTTGACGCCTTCAGTGCTGAATTCTCTGATCTCCTCGTTCTTGGCCCGTAGTGCTGGGTGTGGGTACTTGACGATCTCAAGGCCATCCACCACCCCAGGGTCGACCTCCTGTGTGCAGAAGGCAAGACACACGCATGAGCGGCGAATCTTCCTTCCCCGCCTTGCTGTGCACGGCGTCCCTCTCCCTCCCCAGCTCACCTCTTCGTCCAAGCTGAATGTGATCTTCTTCTTGGCCATTGGAGCAAGTGACTTGGCGCCTGCTTGTGATGATGCCTTTGCAGTAGAGGCACTCCCAAAACCTCCTCCAAATCCCTTGCCTGAAGGCAAAACCATGCACAGATATTCATCCCACATGAGAACAGTGCAGCCGGAGATCTCATTCAGCCAGCCCACCTGCAGCAAGGTGCGTCCAGCGACGAGGCCGCCCGTCGCCTGTGGGCCTCAGCGAAAGAAAGGTCGCCATCTTCCGCTCTCCGTTCATGGCTGACGCCAGGATGAAATCTTTCCAAAGACAGATCAGCAATGAGATCAGTCCGAATGAGAACACGTCGCTGCACACACGACGCTCCTGCATCGACGGGTCGGGAGCTGAGATTCGCAAAAGCTCGCAGTTTTGAGCGGATCGAAGCTGGCGGGCACCGCCAGGAGGGCGGATGCAGGCTGAGCCGTAGCAAGTCGAGCCGGTGAGGTTGTCCACTCCCTTGGCGTAGCAAGCCGCGATGTCCAGCCTCTCGCCCGCCGATGCCCTCGCTGCGCTGGACCTTCGCCTGCCCACCACGCCCGCACACGTGAGGGCACGGTTCCTGCAGCGCGCGCAGGTCAGCACATTAACGAATGAGGACGGTTCACGTTGGCGGAAGGATGCAGTTCATTCGATGCTCGCTGGCATGCAATGAATCATGTGTGTTGTGCGTGCAGGAGTGCCACCCAGACAAGGAGGGCGGCTCTCTCGCGGCGTTTCATAAGCTCAAGGAGGCGTATGAGGTGGCCCGGGCCCATGTGGAGTGGCGGAACTCGTTGCCTGTCTGGAAACTCGTCTCCTTCGTAAGCAGAGTCCACTCGCTGAATGGGCCCTTGAGCAACACACCACACCTCTCACTCTCTGTCCGGTGTGTGTCGTCTGTCCATCAGAAGATCAAGCTCCCCAAACCCCACGAGTTGGCCATGCAGTACGTGATGGTAATGAACTGACGGACCAGACGACGCTCGACAACAGACGGACGCGTCATTCATTCATTCTCTTTGCCTGGATGTGCCCGTCTGCTTCCTTGTGCAGAGTGAGAAGGCAAAGGAGAAGAAGGCGGCCGAGGATGCCGCGAGCAAGAAGGCGAAGGAGGAGGCTGCTGCGGCCGCCCAGTCGGATGCCAAGACTGCGGCCGAGGGTAAGACCAAGATGGCTGCCACCAAGCTCGTCACCGGAGATGCTAGCAAGGAGGAGGAGAAGAAGGAGGAGGATAACACCCACACCAAGGACGAGGTCGAGGACGCCAAGCCCACTCCCACCACGTCGTCCCCAACCAAGCCCGCCGCGAGTGTGCCCCGAGTGGCGACCTGCCTGTCGGCTCGCCACCAGCAGCAGAGGGCGGAGGCACTGGCCAAGCGGGAGAAGCTGGCAAAGCAGAAGGAGAAGGCGGCCAAGCACCGTTTCCGACCTTGAGCAAACTCTAAAGGTGAGAGGGCTCTCTCACAAACACACGGGGCGGTCTGTCGGCTATTCATTCATCCGTTGCTTGCGTCCATGTCTGTGTGTGGTTTCTTCTGTCAGGTACCGTCATGGCTTGTTGGCGCGTCATCCGATGTGATAGTGGGGCAGACAGGCAGACGAGAGGATGATAAAGAGGGAACTACCTATAGCTGGGGGAAAGAGCGAATGGATGGATGGATGGATGGACACGGGAGAGATGGACACATACAGACAGGCCGACGTGCGTATATGTGTGTGTGGATAGCTACACTTCATGCTGTGTAGGGTTCATTCCGTGTGCAGGACATACTGTGTATATGCAGAGACGCTTTGATATTCCCGATTCCCGACCGAGGATGATCACGGCCACCGGCCGCTGGCGAGCGTGTTGTCGATGTATGACCGGCGTCGAGAATCAAAATTGTCGAGAATCGAGTCGAGAATCGCGTGGGGCGCGTCTTTTGCTGCCCATTTTATTTCTTTGTCTTGTCGCCCATTTTATTCTGTGCGAGCACACACTAGCAGCAGCAGCAGCGCCCTGGCCCTTGCTGCTGGACTTTCAAGTCAGCTCCCCCTTGAGTTGTCACGCCCTGTCACCATGCCGACATCGCCTGACGCCCTCGCTGTCCTAGGCCTCCACGCGTCCGCCACGCCGACCCTGGCTGACGTGAGAGCGCGGTTCCTGGAGCGTGCCCTGGTAAGCGCATTGGCGAATGAGGAGGGAGAGGGCTCACGTTGGCGGGCAGATGCCCATTCGACGCATGCATGCATCTAATGTGATGCATATCTAATGTGATGCAGGAGTGCCACCCTGACAAGAAGGGCGGCTCCACTGAGGCGTTCCAGGAACTGCAGGAGGCCTACGAGATGGCCCGCCAGTGTGTAGAGATGGAGACGTATCACTACGAGTCAAATTGACGAGCCGCTCACTGAGGAGGTGAGCAATGGCGCACGCATTCAATGTGCCCTCGCGCAGCACACCTCTCACTCTCTGCGTGCGGTGCACTGTGTGTCTGTCCATCAGGATTTGGCGAACTGGGTGACACCCCAGGAGAAGGCCAGGATGTGGGCGACGGTAACAAAACGATGGACCAAACAGCGGTCGAGGACAGGAAGGTCATTATCTTTGCCTGTTCCCGCCTGCTTGCTTGCGCAGTCGGAGGCGATAGCGGCAGGTGTCGCCAAAGCCAGAGCCAACAGCGACGCGGAGCTGGCTCGTCTGCGGCGGAAGTGGGCGAGGGAAGGCACGCTGAGGCAGAAGGCCACCACTACCAAGCCCGCCAAGCCCGCCAAGCCCGCCAAGCCCACCAGCGCCGCTTCCGTTTTTGATGCAACCGTGAGAGCGGGCCTGGTGGGGGTGTCGTGCGCGTGTCTGACCGCGACCGACACCCTCCCAGCCCGCCAATCCCCACCTCATCCAGCAGCTCGTCATCCAGCTGGAGGAGGGAGAGCCTTATGTGAGGAAGAGAGAGCGAGAGGGAGGTGGAGGGGGCGAGGGTGGCGGCCACAGCATCTCGCCGATGAGCTATTGTGACGAATGGGGTAAGATGCGGCTGGCTGTATGATACACGGCGGTGATCAATCGCTGCGTACGTTTTATATTTCGATGTTTCTTGCGTAGAACATTGACTGTACAAGGGTGAGTCATGGGCAGTACATGCCGAGCAAATGAGTCCATGGAACGACAGACACACTGTGAATGAATTCACGTCTGGCTCGCCAGCCACCAATCTATCCGACAAGCAACCAGACAGAAAAAAGTCTGCCAGCCCGCCCCCTCCCCTCCCCTCCCTTCTGCCCCTGGTCAGAATTGTTTGGAGCACAGTGGGCATCTGGGCACCGGCTCTGGCTCATCGTCCTCATTGGTCATGGCGTCATCGCCTGGGCGGCCCCTGACGATGCGCTCATGACAAGGGCCACAGTAACACTTGCAGCCTGACACGCACACAACACACACACACACACACACACACATGAACGGACCGCTCTCTCTCTCTCTGCCTCCCTTGCTGACCGCATGGCAGCACCACTGCTCGTGGCTCCGTCAGGCAGGCCATGCAGGCGCTTTCCCTCTCACGCTCAGCCATCTCGGTCCGCGCACGCTGCACCTCGGCGGCCACCCGCAGCTGCGCCAGGCGGGTCATTTCGGAGTCGATGTTGCCCAGCAGGCAGCCCAGCTCGGTGTGTCAGGACGTTGCGCAACCCCTTGGAGATAGTGGGACAGATCAGGGACAGCAACCTTCAGGCAGGAGTCCCCGTTGCGGCCAGTCAGGCTGTAGCCGTCCGCTTCTCCGCGGCCATCCATCCATCCATCCATCCATCCCTTGTCACGCGTGCAGGAGACGCTTCCCCAAGAGACGCCCCCAGACGGAGGATGTAAACTCATTTGCGCCTGGTGCTCAAGAAGGCTAAATCCCGATCCCTTGACCGATCCCTTGATTCTATCAGC